AATCTGCCTGACTCTTACTCTTACCTTTTCTAATGTGCGAATGATAATATAATCCTCCCAGTTATTGTGATAATTCAACATTTTTTTCTAGGGATATAAATGTCTAAAAGCGATCTTCACACAGGGGATTTGTTAATTGCAACTTTTATTTTGTGATTTCAGATTGTCAGATGGAAATCCCTTCACCGCCTTTCCAATCTCTGCGCTTTGCTTTCCGTTTAGCCTGAATACAAGTGTGGAGTTTTTTTTTAAAAAAGCCCTTACTGATTTAAAAAAAACGTTTGGGGGGAATTTTGAACAAAATATATTAAATTGCAAACTAGCGAGTATAATTTACCCGACTGATCTGGTTTGCAATCCCAGTATTAAAAACTTTGTTTCCTTTCCATAATCCTTTAATATATTCCATTTACTTCATTTTCTTGGTTCTGCATTCCAATTAATTGCCTCTAAAATGATTTTGATCAGTTTATAATTTGTTCTCCGCGAAACATTGTGCAACTCTTTCTTGCGCGACGAAGAACTATATCATATTACACAGGACTATAGAAAGTCCAGTTGCACTGCTCTGAGGCAATTTCTGACTCAAGAGCCAAGTTCTCTCAAGTCGAGTGATGTATATAGGGCTCTTTAGAAAAGAGACACTTTAATTCTGACATCCGTGTTCCAGTATGAGGCATGACTGGCACTTCTGTTTTGAGTGCTTTTTCAACCCCAAAGAAACCAAGGAGAGGCAGGGTTAAAGTTGTCTAAATAATTGCAGTTGCCCATGCACTTCTGAGTGACTGGTATCTTGACGTTGTTTGACAGCATCCTAAAGAAGAGCATCATAGAATCTGATCGATTCTCGTGCCTTTCTCTGCTCTTCTCCATACCCTTTTCTATATTTGGTGTTCCGGAGTATCATCTATAGAGTTCCATTCATAGAAATGTCTAATGTGTGTTTGTATTTCATATGTGACTAAGAAATCTCTGGTGGAAAAAATGGATTTGCAGTGTCCAATATTTGCAGGATCCAATGTTTAAACATTTGGATTTAACCTTATTGTAGAGAAATATTGTGTGTGTGTGTTTTGATAGGAAGGCATTTGTGCCAGGAAAAAATACAAACATTTCAGAGATGAAATTAATATTGTTAATAATAATAATCCTTGCATTTGATATAGCAGCTTATCATGTCTTTGAGACGTCTCAAAGTACTTCACAGAATACAGTGTAAAGGGAATTGACTGTATATTTTGTCGGTGAAACGCAGCAGCCAATTGTGCGCAGCAGTGTCCTATAAACAATCGTGGATTGAGTGACCAATTTTTTTTCAAGGAATCATGATGAATGTCTATTAAATTTGATTTGAACGCCAAATGCGATGTCCATTGTTTACATTTCTGTACAACTCTGGAGTTTAACACAAAATAGAAGTCAAATGTGATTTCAAAGGCACTCAAAGATAAGCATGTGTAATTAGGTTTGGGGATTCAATATGTGTCAATTTCTATTAAGTTTGCTTACCAAGTAATCCAGTATAAAAATGATCAAGGTGTGGCTTTTTTTAAAACCTTTTATGCCAGGGGGAATATGCTTCACAGGATATGCTGTAAAATGGAGTGACTTTCACCCTGACCCCCACAAACATGCATGAACTCCACTCCCAAAACAGATCGAAGCAGAGTTCTTGCAAGCCAGCATGACCTAGTTCCTTAAGGAGAAATTAATGCATTATATGACGTATTTGTAAAATTATTTTTTATGTCTTAAATGATAATACTTTTTTGGAATTATGTGGTGCAATCTCCATTTTAATGTAGGATTAAATGCTGTGCTCAGTATTGAAAGGCAGATGCAGCAATGGAAATGCCCCAAAGTGTGTCGTCAAATAAATTGGAAACAAAAGCTAAAATGGAAGATCCTCTGTCTTTTCAACTCTGGGCTGTGAGTTCAACTCAAGCCCAGTTATGGAAGAAAAGTCTGCTTTGTGTTTTGTAGGTGATCCTATGTATCATGAGTTTGAGAAATCTGAACCACTCCTCAGTAAAAATCGACTCTCAAAACAAAGCTATGTTTAATTTGGCACTAAGTTGGCTGCCTCACTCAAGATGGGTACAGGATTGCTGGTTTGGGAAATTCAAAATGTGACATTTATAATGTAGGTCTGTGAGCTGCTCTTTTGCTTTGGCAATGAGTAAGCATTCTTGGGGGTGTAAGAGATAGAGGGAGCTTTACTCATGCATTGAATCTGCTAACAGTAGACCAGCTTGAAGCTGAAACAAGATACGCTAAATTTATTCTATTTTCCAATCCTAGCATCCCTCCTCTTTCTCACAAAATTCATCAGAGCAAAAAAAAGCTGAGCTTTACTGTCGGTGACGTTGTGAGTGTGGCCGACACAATAAATATGATTGAGCGTGTCTGCTTTTGGATGAGTTTTGTTTTTCATGAAAAGAAATCTTCATATGTATGCTTGTGTAATTCAAGATTAATCTTTACTTAGTAAGATATAAAATCTGTTTTGTACAGAAGTAAAATGAGAACTATTTTTCTCTTTATTTGAAAACCTATTAGATCAAGTGTGTGGTTGGAATTGTCCACAGGGTTGATGGTGTCAGATCTGCATAGTAACCGAGGAATATATTGATTGCCATGGTTACTGCTCTATATTTATCTGTATTCAGAAGCTGCTGCTTTCAAGAGTTTTCCTTGCAGGTCACCGTTTTTGAATAGGTTTCGATTCTTGTTAGTTTAAAAGTGCAATTCATTTGTTTAATCACAGTAAGAGTATTTAAATTCTAAATAAGATGGCAGCAGTCCTGGGAGATGAACATGCGCTATACATTTTAAGTGTAATTACAACAATTAGCGTCTTTCACAAAGGATAATGTCTCAGGGTGCTGCAAAGAGACAGAGCAGCAAGTTGAGTACGGTGAAAAATAGGAACTTGGAGGAAGGTGACTAAATGATTTCAAAGAGATAGGTTTTCAGAAGACTTTTGAAAGCAACAACAACAATTTGCATTTATATAGAGCCCCTCATGCAGGGCAGCTTCCCTTCGCGCTTGAGGGAGGGTGTGTGATGGAGGGATTTGGGGAGTGAATTCTAGAGAGTGGGGAGCATCGTGGCTGAAATGAAATCCCAGCCAAGAATGGTAGGTTCGGCGATGTGCAAAGACTTACGTTTCTGGTGTGGGAGGTGGGGTGCAGGAAGTTGGAGCTTGAGTAGGTTGCAGAGTTAGATGTGATAAGGACGTAGAGGGATTTCAAGTGCAAAATGAAAGTCTTGAAGTCAATCCTTTGCGGGAATGTGTAGCTTGGCAAGAGTGGGGCCGACGGATGTGGGGAGCAGTGGATGTTGGTGACCTTTTTGACAGGTGAGATAATCTTGAGTTTACTTAACCAAGCTATCTGGTTACCATGGCAATGTGCACTTTGTGCATGCAAAATGTCTTGGCATGTCCTACTGGCCTTGCTCCCTTGCCAGTATTGCCTCACTCCTGTGACTGCCGCACCAGGACTGCGTTGCCTTGCTCCCACGCTCCCAAAATTTTAGATGAGGTAGTGCCTGTCTGACATCAAGTCTTCGATGAGAGCAAACTTCCTCCAGTTCAATGTTGGCAAGGCAGCGCCACCGCACCTCAGCCATTGACATTATCACTATGCATGGCTGCACTCTTCACCTCACAGAGCCAATACGAAATCTCAATGTCTTTTTCGACCCCCCCAGCTATCCTTCAAACCCAACATTTGTGCCGTGAGCCGTTCAGCCTTTCCCCACCTCAGCAATATTGCCCGCCTCCGCCACTGCCTCTCACTGCAGCCCACCAAGACCCTGATCCACGCTTTCATCGTGTCCCGGCTTGACTATGCCAACTGCCTGCTCGCTGGACTCTTTCCTCCACAAGGTGCAGATTATTCAAAACTCTGCAGCTCGTGTCCTCTCCCGTACCAGGCTCCATGGCCAATCACCCCGTTCTTGTCCAGCTTCACTGGCTCCCCATCCGACAGAGAATCAAGTACAGAATCCTCGTTGTCATCTTCAAAGCCCTCCATGGTCTTGCTCCCCCTTACCTCTCCGACCTCCTAAACCCATATCAGCCTGTCGCTCCCCCTGCTTGATGGATACTGGTCTGCTTCAATTTCCCTGCATTCAGCATTTCTGCCCCAACACTCTGGAACTCTATCCCGAAATCCCTCCACCTCAGCCCTCTCTTGCCTCCTTCAAATCCCATTTAAAGACATTCCTCTTCGACTGTGCCTTCAGCCATCTTTTGGAGTAATGTAGAAATTCAGTCAGATGAGGTTTGAGAGTTGGAGAGAAGTGATTTTGGTCAAAGGCTGGATATAGAGTTTAAGAAACTTTGTTGAGCAACCGGGAGATTGATAAAGCTGGAGCCAGAAGTGAAGAGGACTGGTTGCTTAATTTTAATTATGATGTGTATGAGCTGCTTCACTGACTTGAACCTTTTTCCAACATATGTTCATATTTGGGAGCCGATAATCACAGCCCAAAAGATTGCAAGGAATACTTTCAATGGGTAACATGTTCAAGTAGTGATTTGACCACTCGTGCTTTTTAATCAGTCAAAGTTAGTGCTTTGGTCTGACCTGAAAGCAATTTGGTGGGGGAAGCAAGACTCGTTGCAAGCGAGAGACCTGGGTTTGGTTCCCAGAAAGGCGAAACATGGGGCAAGTTTCCTTATTCCACATGCAGTATTCCACCTAGCAGTAAGTAGGAACCTGGTTGATAGTCGATTGGCGGATTGCTTTTCCGGGGGTAATAATTCTTTCAAAAAAAATTGTTCACTCAATCCACAACTGTTTGTGGGACATTGCTGTGCGCAATTGACTGCCATGTTTCACTCACAAAATATATATTGTATATTCTGTAAAGCGCTTTGAGATGTCTCGAAGATGTAATAAGATGCTATAATAAATGCAAGGATTATTATTTCCTTCAGTTTAATTGTGCAATGCTAATGGTCTTATTTATTTCTTGTATCTCAATTTCAGGGGGTCGAGCAGAAAATGGTGGTCCAATTATAACCTTTCCAGATTATCCAAGTTTTAGTGATATCCCTGAACAGGAATTTCAGAGTGTTATATCCTATCTGACCAGTGTTCCCAGGTGAGTACCTGATGGGTGCATACGATCAAATGGGGGATGCAAGCAGGTTTTCACTCTTTGATGGTTTGGGTTTCAAATAGAATTATTTATATGCTATATGTTAGGTTCGCATATTCCATTTCATCCCAAGATGTGAAATATTTAGTTTGATCTTGTTTTGTTGTAAACAAGCTCGATCTCAAAAATAGAATCAAACCATCAGATCCAGGCTTCAGTAATATTAATGAATTCAATGGTGATAAGTTAACTCATTAAATTATACTTGAATGTGGTTTTACATTTGGGTTGACTTAGACCACAATTTTGTGGGCTTGCAGTGACTATTTTGTTAGATTTCACCGACAAAATAGTCAATAAACTTACAATTAATTCTGTGAAGCTCTTTGTGACATGAAAGGTGAAGGATTTGCATTTCTATTTTAACGGGGTGATGGTAAATTTCCACCTTCTTTATATGACTTTCATTTCTTAATTACACTCGCTATTTGAAATTTGTCTTGAAATTAGATTGTGTGGAGAACTTCAGATTGCCAGAGAAAACATTTCCTGGTTGACTGGTGCTGAACTTTAGTATTTTAATTTTTATAGTTTTAACTCCTGCTCTGACTGTTGGATTAAATGTCAAATTTGTTTCATTCAGTGTAGATTCAGGCATATTTGCCATGAGACATGGCCAGAATTCTAATGACATTAGACTGAAAGGGAAAAATGAGATGCATGAATATTTTCTTTTTGGGGCTTTTTTTTCCAAAAAAAAGAAGTTAATGAGATATGTTAGCTGGTGAAATGTTTGATGGGACATGGGACAATAATGGCAAACTAATTCTCTACGTAATTGCATGTGACTCACACTTTGAATATTTAAAGTTTTCAGAAACTAGCACAGCATTGTAAAACAGATTGTATTCAAATATCTAATTAAAAATCATGTGGAATTTGTCAAAGGGTTTACTATGCAAAGTATCAAAGTTGCAATGAGGTAACCAATTATTCCTCCCCATTATTGTCATTTAAAGGATGACAGGGCCATAGAGGGTGAAGGGTTCTACCAGGATAATGCTAGAGAAAACATTTTGACCCACAAGCAAAGGTTGAAAAAATTGGGCCTATTGTCACTGAAAAGAGATGGATATTTTATTAAATGATGTAATTCATTTAATCCTTCTAGTTTTCAGAATATAAAAACTATAATGATAATTCTTGCATTTGAAATAGAATCTTTTTTAAAAAAAAATCTCGCTTAAGTAGATAAATTGGTTTTCATCTGTTTATCAATTTGACTGGTCAAGATGAGTAATTTTTACTTTTTCTGACATTTACTATTTTCTGATCTGTGAATTATTATTGTCTTGCGTGTGTTCAGGAAAGTGGGAGAGAATTGATGAACATCTTACTTTGCATCTATGCAGATTGATTTTAAATTTGTCTGCATTGCATTTCTGATACAATCAGACTAATTTCTAGAAATGTCATATGTATTCAGCAGCTAAAGGTTTCACCTTTCTTCCAGATTTAAGATCCTTAATTTTTTGGTGCCCATTTGGCAGTTATGTTTCATTGTATTTTGTACAAGAATGTCAAACCACAACGATATGAATTGGATGTTCTGGATGAAAATTCTTTGCCAACAAAAATAGTCATTATACTGGAGAGCAATTAGCTGTGAAACGTTTTGAAATGGTTCAAAATCCTAGGTGCTATATCAAAAAAAATTATTCTTAGAATTTTGCATATTATGGAATATAACATTGCATCTTATGAAACATCATAATTTTCCATCTATTCCTAAAGACTATGTGGGTATGAACCTTGCCGTCCTGACTTTGAGTCAATTTCTAAGATTTTCCTCTTCAAATGTCGCTATTGGCCCTGATTCTTATTTCCAATCCAGAGCATGACATTGCTGTGAAAAAAATGTGGTCAATCAATCAACTGTTTGTGGGACACTGCTGTGCGCAATTGCCTGCCATGTTTTACCCACAAAATATACAGTCAATCCACTTTACAATATATTCTTTGAAGCGCTTTGAGACGCCTTAACAATGTGATAAGGAGCTATATCAAATGCAAGGATTATTATTTGGATTGTTATAAATTTAACAGACCTCAAACTATACAGGGCTCTGATCAGACTGGAACTGGGGAACACTTGTCGTAAGTAATCTCTGGATAACCCATTACTCCAATGGAAAAGGGATCAGCGATTAGTTATCCAGTGTGGTGAGTTAGACATAGGTCCACAATGGGGTGCTCTGACTGGTGTGGATGTTCCACAAAGGTTGGGTGTGCATGTGCGGATGCATCTGGTCTATTGGAAGGCCTTGGCAGGAGAAGCTGGGAGACACCATCTTAGAGGACGATTTATCCAAATAAGCACTTAGAAAAATTTCTAGAATGTGACTAGTTACGTATTAAGTGGGGTGACGAGGAAAGCAGAGTTCTTTATTAACATTTTGCAAGTGAAGTATTCATTCACAGCATGGCTACTTAAGTGGCATTGACAAGTTAAGCCAAGCTCTTGTTATCAGGAATTTACTGTTCTTCATTTGACCTTTCTACATGAGTAACCTGGCATTATCTTCATTCCCCTTTTCCTATGTTCCTTACCCAAATCCTATTACGTTTGAGCCGAGATTAAGACCTTGTGTGCCGACTTGTTCGAATTCACGTTTCTCATGTGTATTTGTAGGTGTGGAGAGAAACCGATGAGGCATGACATGGGAGAGAGATTATCAAATTAATTTACTAATTAATTATACTTGGGGGTTGTTGGAAATATATTTTTTCTTATTTTTGTTGAATAATACTGCCTAATTTTAAACTTTGTTTTTTAATTACTGTTTTTTTCTCCCCAACAAATTTCACGCATGGATAGCAAAGAACAGAGACAAATTGTAGTAATTTGATAGGGCAAAACCTTAGGCAAGTTTCCTTATTCCACACACCTCTGTTTACCTAGTAGTAAGTAGGAACCCAGTTATTAGTCTTAGTGGATCACTAACCAGGGGTAATAATAAATAAAATTGGTCGCTCAATCGCTGACTGTTTTGTGGGACACTGCTGAGCGAATGGACACTGCTGTGCGTTTCGCCACAAAATATAGTCAATTTACAGTATATCCTGTGAAGCACTTTGAGAGTCTCAAAGATGTAATAAAATACTATATCAAATGCAAGTATTATTATTATTAATTATCCCCAAGTAAAAGTTGATCCTCCTGAGAATCGGCAGTCCAAGCATGTATTTTTGTTGGATACCTGCTGCCTTACAAGCCAAGACTCGGTCACAGAGATGATGAGGTTTGAAATGCTTTGAGATGAAAGTGCTGCATCATTAGCAATTTGTTTTTAAATTTGATTTTGGAACCCCTGAGAATTGGTTGCTTTTCTGTAATGTTAAGTGATCTTGAAATTATTGAATTGTGATACTGTATTGACATGCGGCACCATCTAGTGGTGTAACTTGAATAATAAAATAATACTTGAATTTATTATAATGCCTTATTATGTTATCATGACGCCTCAAAGTGCTTACAGCAAGATATTATATTATTGGCATCAGAGTTTCATTATAGATACTCTTTCATAACTTAAACAATCATATAAAGAAACATTCCTGCAGTGGACCTATAAAAATGAAATTATTTATTTTGAAATCTAGTTGAATTTCAACATGTTTTTGTGATGGATAGATCTGACAAAGATGTAAAATAATCTGAATGTAGTTTTATGGTTGATGCAAAAGTCCCGTAATAGCAAGACCTACCAGGAAAATTAAGAGGAGAGTTTAGAAGAAAATCGAAAGGAGATTGTAGTTCCAGAAGCAATGGGTCATGCCTCACTTGCCTCTTAAATTACTTGGAGATGATGGTGAGGGCTATTCAGTGGATGTGATGTACCTGGATTTGGAGAAATCCTTTAATAAGGTTGCACATCAGAGTCTTTTAAAGACGAGTCAGGTTTTATGAAATTTAATGGAATATTTAGCGACTGTGATTCAAAACCATTTGTGCTATGGGCAAGAAAGAGAAAAAGTGCAGTCTGATAATGGTGGCTTGGGATCTTCTTCAAAAATCTTCTCTGGATTCCTTTTCCTTAGTGCAGTTTATGAGAAGCATGCTATTTATAATCTGTGGTGATGCCAAGGAATGTGATGAGTTGAGTGTTGCAATGAACACTGGCAGAAATTTCTACTCTGACGTTAAGCCATCTTTAAAGACTTGAAGGATTTTAGGCTCTGCTAAATCACCATTCAGCAGCCATTGCATGCATCTTCCTTCCCTGCTCAGCATACTGCAGATTTTTCTCAGCATTTGCACATGACAGAAGAGTCGTGGGGAGGCTAAGGTTCTGTTTTGATGGACAAACAGTAACTCTGTCAAACACTGCTCTTGGGAACTGGGAGTAGAAATAACTTCAAGAATCATGTCAGATTTGCAGCTCTGGCACAGCTGTTTGAATTGAAGCAGATGGGACTGCAAAGTACCTTTATTGGAAAGCCCAACCAACATGATAAATTTGTCTACCCAAATATTTCTAATAGTGTACGTATCCAGGCATGATCTACTCATTTATCATCATTGATCGCTACTTCACAAAGTCTTCCAATCTGGTATGTGACTGTTCTAGCCCATCTCGCCCATCAATCGTGTTTAAACTGAGGTGTTTTCAGTTGATACACTCATAATAATTCTTGCATTGTGGGCTCAAAATTGCTCGGCTTGTCTCAGAACAAAGTGACCCAACCTTGATCACCAGCCTTACTGGACTGTGGCTCCTATTCCTTCAATAGTGGAAGAATATGAGTAATAGTGGTAACTTTCTAGGTATATTGAGCAATTTCAGTGTTATAAAATGTTGAATTTTTTTTTGCGTGGAACTGCTATTCAGAAACTTGTGCTCCTGTTGGCTTTGATGAAACCACATGTCAGTCTGACAATTCCAGCCTCTTCTGAAGCTGCCTCTGTGAGTTTCTGTTTGAAGTCAGTGATGGGTCCGGTTTATCAAGTAGAAGAGGGGTTGGGCTGGGCTAAATATGCTTTGGCTCTTTTGCAAATGGCAATTATCTTGAGTCATGGATTGGCTTCAGATGTTCCAAAGTGTGTGTTTTTTTTTGCTCTAAATTATTTTAAATAGAACTGTTGGCCATTTAATTTGGATATATGAAGTGCACCTTTGTATTAAGGCCTCTTTAAAGAACTCAAATTTAAAGAATGGCAACCCTGATGTTGAAACCCTGATATCTATTAGGTTTTGGGGACACACAAAAAGCCGACTGCATATATGTCATCTTGGTAATATTTTTGGCTTAGAATCAGAAGGTTGTGACTTCAAACCCACATTGTGATTTGCGCTCACCCGCCAAACAGTGAAGCACCGAGGAAGCACACTAGGAGTACTTCATTATGGATGGTGCCATCACCATCCCCCAATTTTCTCTTGACTTTTCCTCACCTCTGAGATCCTCATCTGTGACTTCATCAAGTCCAGGTTCGATTTATTCCAGCCCCTGCTCACCGGACCCCCAGCTCCTCCTGACACAAACTGCAAATGATCCAAATCTATAGCCCCTCTCAACTCTCACAGCCAGCTCTGGGATCTTATAAACCTCATCCTTGCTCGGTGCCCAATTGAAAATTCTTGACCTCACATTCAAAGCTCTTCAGGGCCTTGTCACATCCTACTTCTGTGACTCCTGCTTGATCTGCCTCACCTTCAGCAGGTGGGTTTTCAATTCTGCCCTGAATGCAAGTTGTGGTTGTCATCCTGAAGTAAATGTTGTTGTGGACGAAATGTTAACCCTTGGGCGTACATGCCTATTCTATAATGTTAAAGGCCCCATGTCATTATTCCTAAAAGAGAAGGGAACTTGCAGTGTCCTGGTCAACAATCCTCCAAATTTATTAATCTCATGGCTGTTTGTGGGATCTTGCTGTGTGTGAGATGGCTGCTGTATTTGCCTTTGGGTGCCAAAAAAATAAACAGTCAATTCACTTTATATTCAGTCAAGTAGTATGCATCCTCTCAAAGACATGATAAGGTGCTGTATCAAATGCAAGGATTGTTATTTTATTATGATTAAAGTACCAAATGTATTGAGGTGCCGAAAATTGCAAGTTCTCTCATGAGACGAAATTTCTATTTTTGTTGTGAAATTTTCCAATATTGAAAACCTATTTTATTTTAATATTATCCTTGCATTTGATATAATGTCATGAAGTGAATGATCAATTTTATCAGGGGATTGCTGGCTGGGACACAAGGAGAAAATTCCTTTTTTTGAATACTATTTCATTCTCAGCTGCAAAATTTTTGCACGTAATTTTAGCTGAAAATAAATTCTAGGAATTCTAAGAATAAAATGTTAATTATAATCGACTACTAGAGTAAACTCCTCTTCCATATCGCTACTGAAAGTACATTAATCTTGTCAGAGATTCCCCATACTGTCTGTTCTGTTTTCGTTAAACAAAAATGTTATGCAATTCAAAATATCTTAGAAATAACTTAGAAAATGGCGAAGGAAAGGGGATATGATTCCCTAGGCAACACTCATACTGTACAGTTACATTTAGAGGAAAATGGGTTTATTGGAGGGAATAGCTATGAAGCAGGATGGACTTAATCATATATGTATATTTGTTCATTCCCTAGGTTTTAAATGTGGAAAGCTAATTTTACAATAAAATAACTTAGAAAATGGCGAAGGAAAGGGGATATGATTCCCTAGGCAACACTCATACTGTACAGTTACATTTAGAGGAAAATGGGTTTATTGGAGGGAATAACTATGAAGCAGGATGGACTTAATCATATATGTATATTTGTTCATTCCCTAGGTTTTAAATGTGGAAAGCTAATTTTACAATAAAATAGATTTTTTATGTAGAGACTCCACCTAACCTCCACTTCGGTGCAGAATCCCCCACAGAAAAAAATCCAAATTGAAGGTTTGTTTTGTGTGCTTGTCGATAGCCTCGTTTCCCAGCTGATTGGCTTTAAGCCAGCTGCTGGCATTGCGCAATTGGCTCGGATGTAGAAGCACTGAGGATAGCAGATGCTTTGGTTTGTGCGCTGTGGCTGTGACGCATACAGTTGAATGAAGCAGAAAACTGAAGGTCACTACGATAGCTATGGAGTACAATCACTTCTTCAGCTATGCATCCTAGCCTTCTCTACAGTGAATCATCTGCTGCTTCCTGGATCCAATGCTTCTCTGGCTGTACTTTTAAAAATGCAGCAAATCTGCCTGCTGCCAAAGGATTTAATAAACCAGACGTGAGATTTCTTGGATCTGTGCTGTAATTATAAAGACAATACGGTCTCTTCCACCTGAAGCTCTTGAAACACGTGGCTGTGGGTAGTGGTTGTTGGGTGATTGATGTTGTGATGTGACGACAAAATAGAGAAGACCTTCTTCTGTGCATTTATTTGGTTTAAATTTGAAAGTCCTTTGATCCTCCACTGATGAATGGTGTGGCAGCTCTGAATGCAGTTATCACTATCACGAGAGTTATCATATTAATAGAATTAATATGTTCAGCTGATTATGTAAAACAAGCTTATTGTATACATGGCAACAGTTGTCAGGATTTTGTCTCCATGCCACACACCAAGAGTCTTGAATTTTGTGTAATTATCTGAAAGCTGTGGTATCTTTATAAAATGTAGTAATAAACCTGTTCCCTCTCTCTTTATTTAGCCTTCAAGATGCTGGTATTGGATTTATCCTCCTTATAGACAGACGGCAAGACAAATGGTCTTCTGTGAAAACATCACTGCTGCGAATAGTTGTGAGTATTAATATAATACAAATATCAACTCTTTAGAAACACTGAAGCTTTAAGCCTGTTGTGGGATATTAACCATGTAGATGGATTTAGGCTCTTGCATGATGTATAGGATGTGACAGAGTGGGAAGCGTTGCCTGAAGTATTGATTTAAAAAAAGGAAATCAAAGCCTTTTGCTGAAGCAGCCTGCAGCACACAATGACCTGTTTTTTTTAAAGATGAAATATGCATTGACAGTCATGTACTTTCAATACAAACTTTTTGAGCAGTGTTGAGCTACGTTTCTTCAATAAAATTGTTGTTTTAAATCCTGGCTTGATAATGTACGATTATTAATAGCAAAGGGTGTTCCTCCAAATCGAGTTCCTCCTGTTCCTCCTATTTTTGGAGCAGAATTCCCTCGAGTTCTTGTGATGGATATCCAGCTACCAGGAATTCCTATTTGGACTTCTTTAAGAAATCCTGAAGAAATACTTAAAAGTTTACCTTTTGCCATTTTGGAGAAAACCTTTGATTGGGAAAGTTAGGCATTCTTCTTCCACTGAAGGGACTTGTTATATCCCAGTAATAGGATTGTAAACTCTGTCTTTATCTGAGGAACATTGTTCATAGGAGTTGGATGATATTACAGCTATCTATTCAGAGATTGTTCAAGATTTGGACAATGTTTCTATGAAATCACAGAACCTGCTTTCCAGTCAAGTGTTACATACTCTATACAGGTGTGATATAGTTACTGCCATAATAAGGTTGTTAATATATCATGACATGTTATGCATTTGCACTTGATTCTTTTCCAAAAATTAAGATAAATGTAACCAGTTTGCAAGGTAATAAAATAGTATGTGCTAACACAATTTCCAAGTGTCCTTGGTGTGGTGATCCACAATCTTAGAGATGAAAATTCAACACCAGTAATGAAGTAGTTTAGAGGAAAGGTATTCAGTTCTGGTAATCTGTGATGCATGAAATGTTAAGACATTGATCACAGCAAAACTTTAATTCTATTACTATCATTTGCATTGTCATTACTGACTTTAACAATGGATAGAAGTGGAACGCAGAGCATGTGGCAAACTTATGGTTGGTGCCATGAAACAGAACCTAATAACTTCCCTGGTCATTTTCTGTACTGATTTGTGAATACTGTACCATTTGGTTTGCTGGAACAATGATTATAGATAGTGCTGTTGTGTTTCAAGACCCAATGAAGATGATTCGATCCATTCTGTGAAATAAATAACCTTTTTATATTCGATGTATGTGCGCTGTAAAAAAAATTCTGTCTTGTTGCAGACTGTTCAAGCAAGTTTTGCCTTATTTTGCATACCTTGATAACTATATCTGACTTAATTATGTGAATATAGACATTATATGAATACTGTATATAATGAGGTGGGTTAGGTCCATAAATTCAGACCTTGCGTTATATAATGAGGTGTGCTATAAAAATGGCTGCCACTAATGTCACTTCCTGCGTGTTGTGCTTGTGTGCAACACACAGGACGTTAGCTAGTCAGTACAGTGGTGCAGTGCTAAAGCTTTCAGTCACTGTGCCTTTACCCTCTGGAGCAGTGGTGGCCGAACAGAATACATTTTCTTGATTGAATATTTCTCGATTTATGCAAGAAACATACAATCAATGAAAATCTGAAATCCGATCGAACACAGACTTGCCTAGGCTCATTCGAATGTTTGGAGGGTGGGGGTAGGGAGCGGGGCTGCTTCTTGATGGCCCCACAAACCACTTCCAGCCCTTGGGCCACAGGTTGACCACCACTGCTCACTTTGCTATCAGTTGTCAAAAGTTGACTTAAAAGCTTGCCCTTTTCAAGCATGCTTACAGGTACAAGGGTCTTCAACATGTTACTTTATATGAAGGGTGCTACATAAATCCCAATTGTTTTTCTATTTTATTCACCTTCTCAGTTTCGCTCTTGTGCCATTCGGGGATATAAATCAATATTTCTCTCTCCTTTTATTTACAGGGATCATTCCCAGGAAACCTTCAGTTGGTGTTTGTCCTTCGACCTTCTGGGATCTTTCAGAGAGCAATCTTTGATATTGTCCTGAAACTTAATCAAGATGATTTTAAAATGAAGGTACCGGTAAGTGACATTTAACATGATTTTTAGAAAAGTGTGAATATGTTTTTACCAATAAAGTGAAGAAGGTAGTTCAGTAAATTTCATCCAAGCAAAATGTAATGCTTATTTCCATTGGTCTTGAGTTCTCACTGCATTTATTCTACCTTATGAATCCCCTCTTTCTTCCTTTCTTTTACACCCCCCCACCCGATAAAGACATATAGGCTGGCTGGACTGAAGGACTCATGACAGCATCATCATTGCATTCTGTTGGTAATATAGCTCATGATAAAGAGCGTCTGTGCGATGTGTAGTCTTGAGACTTTGGCACAGATCTACTTTATCATTGAAGCTGAAGTCTGATGAGCCTGCGTGCTGTTTAGAGGATTCTCTTGTGAAGACATTTGCGCCACAGGTGCTAAGAATCAGCTGCCTCAACCAGTCACTTTGTAGATGCCCTGACTAAATATTTAAAAACTAAATGGATTTGGACATTTTACACCATGCTCGAATCCCTCACAATATAAACCTCTTTACTTTTCCTTCCTTACCCTCCCCCTCACCCCCACCTCCAATCTCCGCTTGTTTCATATCAGCAGAGCAAGCTGCAAATAAGATATTACAGAGTCACTGTGCTATTAACGTATACTGCAAACTGCAACTCGTCTTCTTTGCATTTGCAGTTATCAGCAGATTTTCGTTTGCCTGTTCAATTCCTCCAATGAGCTCACACTCGGAATTGCTTCTCTGTTATGCTTTCCTCTAAAAATCCAGCGAAGGACTCAGTGCAATGTTGTGCACAATCTTTGAAGTGAATTCATTGTCAATCAACAGCTTCATTCATCACTTCATGCCCATTTATAGCTTCTCAATGAATTGTATTACCAGCTCTCTATTGACAAGAGATTTCTCTGATAGGTCATAATGCTGAACTCAGTAACTGAATTACACAGTTACATTGACAAAACGCAGCTCACCGAGGAACTGGGAGGTACACTGGAATATTGCCACAGTCAGTGGTTAGGTCACCGAACTGTAAGTAGCAATCTTTTAAGTTCTTTTGATATGACTGTCACTAATGTTTTTACAGAATATTTTAAACAACAAATGCATGGTAATTTAAAGTGGTTAATTTACACCCAAGAATTAACTAAAAACTATTTTGTTCATTGTAACTACAAATTGGCGGTAAGCAGTGACTGCAACAGGTTACCAGGAAGGGTGATAGAGTTTAGGATGCTGGACTCGTTTAAAACGCAGGGAGGGGGTTAGCTTGATGGGTGGGCCAAAGTGCCTTCTTTATCCACACTGATCTTGTGAAAGGATTTAAAACCTTAGCTTTTTGAACAATTATTTATTTTAGGATTTGTTTATTTTTGTTTGGATTTCTTGCTGCAAAATCAGATTTTCCTTGTAAGTGACATTTAACAGTGTAGCACAAGTTCCAGTTCTTGTAACTCACAAAACAATTTCACAGTGGTGGAGCATCTTGCAGTGGGTGAACTTTAGGAGAAGCATAGCCCATTGAGGTCAAAGTGGGAATGACATTAAGAATTGCACAGAATTCACGAATATTGAGTCCATACGAAAACCAGAAAAACCTCATTCTGACCCGAGGAAACTTTGTTCTGACCAAACTAACTTTGGAGCAGAGTTTCCTATTTCAGCATGCTGTACATCTGGTTACTGGGGGGATTCAATATTGATGAATCCTTTGCCAATGTGTTTTCAACCCCTTTGAGGCTGAGAATGTCCAGAGAAAACTGAGGAATCTGTACCTTCACACAAATGAACCAAACAGGCACAAACATCTATTTCAGACTGTCCAGAATTTGGCAATTTCAGCATTAATTTTGAATCTGATTTTCTGTAAGTTACTTTTAAGAACTACAGTAAACTTCTTCAAAGTTAAGACTGAAATTAATAATTTGCTAAATTTGAAGCTTTAAAACGCTACATGAACAGAGAGCATCTGGATCCGATGGGTCAAATGGCCACCTTCTGTGTTATAAATTTCAATAGTTTGGTGTAGCCAGACATTTCCTTCCTAGTGTTTGGAAAGGCATTTGTGCTGAAAGACTAAAGGATGGCAAATGTTAGACTGTGTTTAAAAAGAGGAACAGAACAAGATGAAGAATTATAATCAATTAGTCTTACCTTCATTGCAAGTCAACTACTGGAAACCATAATATGGAATGGATTTTATCAACATTTACACTAGGATTGAACTGGAAAAGTTGACGTGGATTTGTTTTAAAAAAAAGTCATGCTTTTAATTGAATGTTTTGAGAAAATCATTTGATAAGGTGCCAGTTATATTAACGTTAAGGCATGTTCTATTAAAGTCTAACCAATAGGTGGCAGAAAGCATTGAATGGATATTTCTTGCTTTGCTTTGATGTCCCATGGTAAGTGACCTGCTCCACTGATCTGTGCTGGGACTTCTATTGTTTTCCATCTAAATTAATGGTTAGAATTTGACAGAAGGTGAACAAATTCTATGTTTACGGTTGGTGCCAAATTTGAGGGTTATTGTAAACTGTTAGGAAATGGGAAACTTGTGAATGAAACAGAATGAGCTCACCTCGGCTAGCCCTCTAAATACAGACCTTTAAAGTATGAGAAAAGCAAAACTTCAGGGTCATCAAAGCCTCTTCTAGGGACAGAGCAAGTCCGAAGCACTGGCTGAATTATACTTCAGCTCATTTAGGAAGGTATGTGGTTCCTCCAAGACTGCCACAGTCAGGAGTCTCCAGAACCTAATACAATCTACAAACTTCTCCAGTTTTATCCTTTCTCATGTAATACTCTTTTGTATCCTATGTAAAAGGCCATAGAGAGCTTTGCCGTCATGGTGAAGGACACTGCACAGATGCTTCAGGCCTTTGGAACAGAATTAGCTGAGACCGAACTCCCAAATGATGCCACATCAACAATGAGTCTCCTAACAGTGCACACGGAAAAGCGAGACAAAATGAAGGTAATGCACAATGAAAGACAAACAACAAACTATCCTGAAAAGAATACAATACAGTAATAAGTTAAATGTAATGCAATAAGACCCCAAAATCAGCTATTCTTTGGTGCAAAAGCCAGCAGGGAGTCCACATTATTTGAAGAACCAATTGTTTGTCAGTCATTTTATGGTGGAAACTGCCCTGAAAAGGGGAGAGGCTGAACCCTCCAATTAAGAGGCAAGCAGCTATTTAATCTAACAACAAGAACAGGCAAACCTTTTGCTGATTGTAGTGAAGTCAGAAAGCACTATTGTGTTATTCTTTCATGTTCAGTTCATCATACTTATGTCTGTGTCTTCAAAGTAAAGATCTGCTTTAAGCTGCCGTTTGGCTGGTGATTTACTGCAATGCTTCACTTCAGAGAATTGTTTTATCTTCTGAAAAGGAACCAGTTCTCTATCCAGGCTATATCCAAAATCACAAGGGAATTTGAGCTTTGCTAATCATGAACTACTCGTATGGTGAGACAGCAAGTCAGTCTGGATCTGTCTGAGAGGAGAGACAGAAAATTGCCGCAGGTTACAATCTTGCATTTCGCTGTACTTGTGTATGATTAATGAAAATCTGACAGATACTTTCGTCGCTTGTGAAGAAGCAACTTAATGCAATACCTTGTGTCAGTCTTTGAAGCATAGCAACGCATAAATGATGCAGAAAAATTATGCTTTAAAGCAATCTCTATTTTGCAGACAGCTGTGGATATGATGAGCGGGACACACAAAAACCTAATTTCAGATATTAGCAAACCTGACTCTTGTCACTTTGTAGACAGTCAATCAGTCCTTATGTTTCGGGTTGGAGTGCAGTGCTTCTTTTCACAGGCCAGCTCAGTTGTGATTATCACTGATGACCAATATATTCTCAAATTGCCGCAGAGCCACTTGATAACTAGAAACAGCCTGTGGGTGTATGTATGTATGTATGCACATCAGTGGTTCAGACTGAAGTTGGTCCACACTGAGCTGGACATTGGTTTAACTCATTTATTTTGGTCGCATTAAGCTGGCACTATTCGAAAATAAGTTTATCCTGATGTCTGAGGGTTGCCAAATCTGATTGGATGTGTTCTGGGAGGTGTTCATCACATGACATAATCGCTTTAAGGACTGAAGCCATTTTTTTACTCAAGGTCCTGCTTACACCAGTAAAATCATTGTAAAAACAATAATACCCTTTTCCTTTGCACAAAACCTACAGAGCCATTATGTTTTGAAGAGCTACTGCCGAAATCATTCATTTTGAAAAACTGATCTGTTCTTGACTTTATAGTAGTGTTGTAAGTCACAGGATCAGTACACCAATAAGATGACTGAGAGAGAGCAAGTGCAGGTTGCCTTGACATTTCAAACACTGGCTGGACTACAGAGTCTCCAGGAATGCATGAAACCAATGAGAAGCTGATAACAAGATGAATCTTGATTCACCATTCAATATTCATTTTGAGAATTCTCCTGGATTATTCGCAGTAGTGTCTAGGAAATTAATCTTTAATTCCTGGGGTCTCCATAACAATCTGGGTGGATTGGCAATCCTACAATGGCTTGGGCAACAGTGACATTGGTCATTCACTTTGAAAGCTGTGTGCAAATTAGCTGCTGTGTTTGCCTACAAATTACAGTAATTGCATACAAATTACACAGCCACAGTCATTCACTTTATAGCACATCCTGTGAAGCACTTTGAGGCATCCTGATGGAAGGCGTATATCAAACATAAAGATGATTACAATTTATCATTTAACCCAGGAACCAGCTATGCAGATATGAACTGCAACTGACGCCTCAGGCCCAACCATGTATGCCAAAGTTGAAGGGACCTGCAGCCAGTCTATAATTATCAACTGCTATTTTTGTCACTGATGATTGTCATACCAAAAGTTGTAATTTTCTCACCCACTTGTTTCTTTTATGATGGCAATTTTTGTTTTGCATAAACCATTGAAAAATGCTATAAATGATTCTTTCAGAGTTGCATCTGGTAACTTCAGAAAATTTTGCCTTGCACAGAATTGCTGAAAATGTTCAAATTCAAGGCTAAATTTGAAAAGCAGTGTTCTGCCAGTTATTTGAAAGTTAAAGCTGAATCTTGGAATTTTCTATATTTCTGCTTTATAATCTGTGCATTCTTTAATTTTAAGACAAAATGGTGCAATTTCAAGCAACAGATATGCAAACATAAGCAGAAAGATGTCCAAAAAACCTATTTTCAAAATATTTCAAGTGCTGGGGATGAGATTGGGAAAAGTCCTCCTCTTTAGAGCCAGTAGGTATCAGACACGTTGTGAACTAGGTGGCATTTGACATTTTTCTCTCCACATTTTACAGAGGGATATAGACCTGGCTTTAAAGAAAGGTCATAGTCTCCTGTCCAGTATCCGAGAACCAATCACCAAGAATTCAGATTATATCTTGAATGCAGACCAACTGGATCATCAGAGCAATGTGCAAAGGTGAGCAGACTGTACTGAAAATGAAGTGTAGTCATTATTTATGGCCAAATGATATATTCTTAATCATGGTAAGAATTGAGCCATAAACTAGAATTGCACTGGTTATTTTCTAACAGTTTTCGTTATACTTTGGACTGATGCACACTGTAATGTATGATAATGAGGTGCTCCATTGCCAGTGGGTGACTAAGCACTTTGTAACCAAAAGGCCAATTTTAATCATCTGTTTTATCAAATCTGGGGTATTAGTTGAACAATTCCATGAATCCAAACTTCCTTATCTTTGCTTTACTGAGGCTTTAGAACATATGTCCTCTCACAGAAACAAACAAACAAATACATACAGAAAAGGCAAAATACTGGAGATGTTGGAAATCTGAAATAAAAACAGAAGTTGCTGGGAATACTCAGCAGGTGAGGCAACATCTATGGAGAGAGGAAAGTGAGTTAATGTTTCAGGTTGCTGATCTTTCTTTGAATGCTGAGTGTTTCAAACAAACACATCCACTCTTCTTGACAGAGTAGCATGAGCAGGAACTGAGGAATATGGGTGGATGTGTCTGATCGTTGTACTATTTTTAATAGGAATGTTCCTAGGAAGTGTTTGGTCTCAGCTAAGTTACAGGGTCTAATTTTGTGCAATGCAGATTTACTGGACTTCTGCATTAATGAAAACACCAGTGATGAGATTGACGTAAGACTTAGTGACAGTGTTCCCAGATGAGATGTGATGTAACTCAACCCTCCAGCCAGTTTTATACATTACCATTCACCCAGGGACAGCGTTCATCACTATAGTGATTGTACCAGTGCCCATTCCAATGATTTGAAAAGTTGCATTCAGTTCCTTCCAATAATTGTGTTGGTATCACCTTCTCCTGCTGTTGCCCCCTCTGTTAGGTTCCACCTCCACACCAGATTCCTGTAGCTCAGTGGTTAGAGCACTCGCCTTGCAAGCGAGACACTTGGGTTCAATTCCAGGCAGGGCAAAACCTTGGGCAAGTTTCCTTACTCCACACGCCTACTAATAATCCCTCCAAAACAAAACAATAATAAATTGGCTATTTTCAATCCACAACTGTTTGTGAGACACTGCTGCGCAATTGGCTGCCGCGTTTCGCCCACAAATATACAGTCAATTCACTTTACAGCATATTCTGTGAAGCGCTTTGAGACGTCGAGAAGACGTGAAAAGCGCTACATCAAATGCAAGGATTATTATTATTACAATAATATGTTCATGACTTAATTATGCTCCTCTGCTTACAGATTGCTCGCTCAGTTGAATGAGACTGAAACAGCTTTTGATGAATTCTGGAATAAGCACCAGTTGAAGCTTGAACAATGCCTGCAACTCCGACATTTTGAGCATGATTTCCGAGAGGTGAGTGCTTAACATTTTAAATAAGTGAGTGGAAGATACGAGGGGAGTACAGAAAACGTTTGTATGCATCACATAGCACTTCTCCCTCCAATACAATAGCATGCTGATCAGAGTTTCTCCTTATAGTAGCTCGGAAGAAGTGCTTAGAGCTGTGCAACTGTCCAGATTAACCTCTGAATATGCAAACCACAGAATAAATTGGTACCACACACCAACTTATAACATTAACAAATACTCAATTCATAGCAAGAATTTAAGATCTGCATTGCAGGACCTTGTTCATTTTATACACTTGAAAGAGAGCTTGGTTATCTGTATGCTTTATATTTAACACGTTAATATTTTTCTGGATGGGACGGATGCATCCCACTTTCCCCCACCGAATACCATTCTCCGCTTTCATTTCACTTCAGTGGCTTGGGCAAGAATTTCCTCTTGCTGTTTATTGAAGTGAGTTTCACAGCATAATGGGGATTAACAGTTTAAGATTGGATGTGAGGGAGGAAGAGGAGAAAACCTTTATTTTGTGCAGTCCGTAAATCAGTCACTAACCCCTCTCCACAAGATGGTTAATCAATTTGTCACGGATGCATAATTTCCACACACCTTGGGATATTCATACCTGATACCACAAAATATTCTAAAGCTACTATATATGTTATATATATAATATAACTGTAAAGTTTCTCCCCACCCCCACTAATTAATTAGCTGCAGTCATCTAACTGCTAATTTAAAACATCACTGTCAATATAACATTGTCATGAGCCAAGGGGAAATAGCATGGTATTGAACATGTTTTGTGAAACCATAATGTGGTTCAGAACAGTGCAAGTTGCGGCAAAACCAACAACTGTTTTCAGAATGAGAGACCTGTCAAGTTAATTTATTGAAGTCTCAGCCTGTGGATCAGTAATGGACTGAATAATGGACACTTTATTGAGTTCCAAACTTAACAAAGTGTTCTGTTTGAATCACTGCTGTGAAATAATTGTCAACTGCAGTACTTATTTAGTAAATGAAATCAATAACTGACAAGGAGAGAAGTGCCCATTTTGTAGTCTTTCATTGTATGCTGATAACTCAACAATCTGATTTCTATGGTACCTTTTACGCAATGGGTCACTGGGAAGCGTCCTGGCAAATTGTTGTTGGAGACTTGGACAACACTCATATCAATGTCTCTGCCCCAGAAGTATACCTTTATCTGCCAATCCACCCATCTGACATTTGAAAATGGTTAAAATGATAATTTTTGTTTCCTACAGTGAAAGCTTTTCTGCGGCATGTACTGATGTGGAGACAGCAGGTAGCCTGATTGTAACTTGTAACATTTTTTTATACAGTTTATTCTTTCTTCCTCCTTTTAGATCAAGAATACTCTGGACATTTTAGCAGAACGACAAAACACCTTTACAGATATCGGAAACAGCTCCTCCCACGTGGAACATATTATGAGGGATCTTTGCAACCTTGAAGACAAATCTCAGGTAAGATAACCATGACGTACAGCCCGACTATAATGCTCTTCACTGGATTACAAATTCGCTTCTTATGCGGTTGCATTGGGTACCCCATTCATTCCACATTCCCGCAGCCAATTTATTTGTTTCCCATGCACTGACTAGCACTTTGGACTAAAATGGCAGGGATCCCCCAACACTGCACTGGAGGGTTAGCCTGTACTGAGATCAGTGTCAGCTTGGCTTCAGTGCAGTGCTAGGGTTGTGCTGCATTGTTGGAGGTGTTATCCTTTAGATGAGACTTGAACCGAGGTCTCATCTGCCCATTCAGGTGGACTTTGACAGATCCCATGGCACTACTTGAAAGAAAGAGTTTCTGGCCACAATTCCCAAACAAAATTGGTCACTCACTTCATAGCTGTTTGTAGGACATTGCTGTGCACAAATTGGCTGCCCTGGCTACAAATGCAGAAACTATACTTCACAGTAAAATCCTGTGAGGTAACATGAGTTGTCTGAATAACATGATAAGATTTTATATCAAATGCAAGGGTTATTATTGAAATACACAGTCACTACACTATACAGTAAATCAGCTGAAGCACTTTGAGATGTTCTCACATGAAAAGTGCTATACTCAATTGCAAGGATTATTATTATCCCTGCCATGACTCGCTCTGTCTTCCCCCACCTCCACAACATCACTAGGCTCTGCCTCTCCCCTCAAGCCACTGAAACATTCATGCACACATTCATTACATCCAGGCTCGACTACGCCAACTCCCTGCTTGTTGGCCTTCCAAACTCTTTCCTCCACATGCTGCAGATCATCCAGAACTCAAGTCCTCTCCCACACCAGGCTCTGTGACCCCATTATCCCAACCCTTGCTCAGCTCCATTGGCTCCTATCCCTCAGAAGATAGTTTGAAATCCTCCACCTCACCATCAAGGCTCTCCACAGCCTTGCTCCTTCCTATCTCAGTGACCTGCTACCCTCTTATCAACCTGTCCGCACCCTCCGCTCAACAGGCTCCAGCCTGCTGCACATCCCATGCTCAGCCCGCCCCGTCATCGGTGTTCAGGCCTTCAGCCTTTCTGCCCCCAGCCTTTGGAACTCCATCCCACATTCCTTTCGCTTCGCTCCCTCCCTTGCCTTCTTCAAGGTATGTCTGAAGACCCTCTTCTTCGATCGATCCTTTGGCCACCCTCCTACCCTCCCTGCCCTCCACCCTTCCTTACCTCAAACCCCCTCCCCCGCTCGGGTCCAAATCCCTGACTGTCCAGCTCCTTGGGACATCCTCCGGACGTGAAAGGCGCTATACAAGTATGTAGTTATGACATTATGTAGTTTTCCAGTGGATCAGATAGGCAGATTTCTACTTAACATAAATCTCTATTTGTGACTAGGTTACTTTTATAAATTGTTGCTTATTAGGCTGCATTGCATTGCCTGTAGTTTTTAGCCATCAATGGAACCTTGCTAATTTGGTTTTTAATGGTCGTTACAGGTTTTAATTTTCCTTTTTCAAAAAATCCCTTTTTGTGTGTTGTAACAGGAATATCTAGAAAAGGCCTTGGCCTTAATATTACAGGGTGATGAGCTGATTCAAAATAACCATTACGCAGTGGATTCAATTCTGCCCAAGTGCAACGAAATGCGACGAGTCTGCGATGAGTTCACGAATGGAATAACAACAAAGAAAGAATTTCTTAATCTCTCGATGGATTTGCACAAGAGGCTGGAAAAGGTAGGAGTCACATTATCGGTAAATAGAAGGTTAAATATTCACAATCTTGAATAGGACAGATGCGGAAGAGACATTAAACCCAGGTCACGTCTGCCTCTTCAGGTGGTCGTTTACGATCTCATGGCACTTTTTGAAAAGAAGGGAATTTCTCCAAGTGCTCTGGCCAAAATAAAATTGGCCGTTCACTTCATGGCTGTTGGTAGAGCATTGTTGTGTGCAAATTAGTTATCATCAATTAATAAGGTTGCTGCAATTTATAGTAATTGCTGTGGAACACCTCAGAACAAATGGAACACATTTTGAGTGTTTTATGCAATATCAAATGCAAGGATTATTTATCCATGGATATCGCTGTATATATGAAGAGACATTTCAGTATACAGTACTAAAATTCGATACAGTTTAATTTCTTTATGCAATCCAATGCAATCATTGTACACATCATACTCTACATTGTTTTGTGCTATCTTCAAATGACTCCCACTCTTTAAAGATTGCAATTCAGCAGTATTAGTTTTGATGCAGTGGTTATGCAGAACTCAGATTACTTTTTATTTTCCCCTATGGCCTCTTTGAATGTGGGGTGAAATCTAACCACCCTATCCTGGACTAGCCATGGGCCTTGCAGTCATATGAACATCAGATAATTCATTAGATTTTAATGGGACATCTCACTATATATTAATTACATTCTGTTCTCCATTGCAGGCCTCTGAGTGGTGTGAATCTGGGGTCTACCTACTAGCCTCACAGCCAATTGACAAATGTCAATCCCAGGATGGGGCAGAGGCTGCTTTACAGGAGATTGAGAAATTCTTGGAGTCGGCCACTGACCAGAGGTTGGATGATCTGGGCAGAATTAATAAGGATTATGGATTGATTCTCAACAAGGAACTTGTGGTAATTATCTTAGTATTTGTAAGCAGCACCTTACACCCACAAAATAGTCAATTCACTTAACAGTATCCTCTGAAGCGTTTTGAGACATCTCGACAATGTGATAAGGTGCTACATCAAATACAAGGATTACTATTTATTATTATTATTACCATTATGCATGTTAAGTATTAGTAAAACTCCTGCATTAGTGTGTCCCTGCTTTGCTAGGACTGACTGTTTGAAATCTGAATAAGCTTCACATTGATCTGGTCTATGTTCAAGCTCCTCCTCATGGTTAACATTGGGACACCAAAAGGATAGCTATGCTCCCAATTATGCACAGCTCTTGCCAATGTGGGAAATATATGATCAGTTTGCCTCGGCTATCCCAAATTGCGGTTTGTGGGACATTGCGATGCGCAAAATTTGCTCCCGCATCCACATACAAAAATAATTATTATGAATCCTGTGAAGTGCTTTGAGTCATCCTCCCAACAGCGCTTTATATCAAATTTAACAGCAACAAAATTACATTTGTAAAGCGTCTTTCACGTCGGAAGGACTTTCCAAGGCGCTAAACAGTCAGGGATTAGGACTCGAGTTTGGGGGGCAGGGTTGGGATGAGGAAGGGCAGAGGGGGTAGGAGGGCGGCCAAAGGCACGGTCAAAAAGGAGGGTCTTGAATTGTCACTTGAAGGAGGCAAGGGAGGGAGCAAGGCGAGGGGATTGTGGGTTGGAGTTCCAAAGGGTGGGCGCAGAGAGGCTGAAAACATGCAGCAGGCCAGAGTCTCCTGAACAGAGAGAGCAGACAGGTTGATAGGGGATTAGCATGTCAGAGAGATAGGAGGGGGCAAGGCCGTGGAGAGCCTTGAAAGTTAGAACGAGGATTTTGAGTTCTATCCCTTGAGGAATGGGGAGCCCGGCGAGGGTGGGGTTGATGGGGTCATGGAGCCTAATGCAGGAGAGGACATGAGCTGCAGAGTTTTGGATGATCTTCAGTTTGTGGAGGGAAGAGTTGGGGAAACCGACAAAGAGGGAGTTTTCGCAGTCGAGCCTTGAGGTGACGAATGCACTTATGAGGGTTTCGGCAGCCTGAGGGATGAGCCAGTGGTAAAGTTGGGCAATGTTGCAGAGTTGGGGGACGGCAAAGTGGGTCATGGCATGGATATGGGGGAAAAAGGACAGTTGAGCATCAAACAAGACGCCTAGGTTCCTGACCCATTTGTTGAGGTGGAGTGTGCATCCCTGGATGGTTAAGGATTGTTATGATTGAATTAAAAAGCTTGAGAGAGGAATAAGGTAATAAAATAAATCCCAATTGTAATTACTTGCATCTTTTTGCAGTTACCAATCTTATTTAAGGTTCAGCTTGTTCCTTTTTTGGATGAAGAATTTTTGGACACTAATTAATTTTTAATTTAAAATCTAAGTGATTTTCACTCGTCAAAATACTTACTGGCAGTGCGAAGAAGGTCTTAAGTCTGAGTTTGTTGATCTCAATCCGGTTAACAGTTGGGATGCTGCAATTGCAGATCACAGCCAGAGTTCCTGCTCACTCCTATCATATGTACTTTCCTATCAGAAAGTATATATGATAGGAGTGGACGTGAGTCGACTTTGAGGCTCTTCACAATCAATCAAGTCACCTGGCAGTACTCTCTGGGATCCACGTGAGGAATGGCCATATGGGTGAGGTATCATTGGGTTGCTGGCAGCTGTGGAACTGCCCCTGAGCAAGAGTGTTGGTGCCACGACAGGACAGGAATGAGCAAAACTGGCTGAGAACTGTTGCTTGATATTAAATTCCAAACAAAATTATTTTCATTTTAATTTGCCCAGGCACAAGTACAAAGAATTTTCCAAAAACAAGAAGCCATGGAGGAGATGTTTGAAAAGCGGAATGTGAGCCTTAAGAAGCTGGCGGCTAAACAAACCCGTCCAGTCCAATCAGTGGCCCCTCGGCCCGAAGGACTCCCAAGATCGCCGAGATCCTCTCCTGGTACAGAGACCTTCTTACTTACAATTCGTTTATGTTTTTTCATGTTGCTTGCAGTTAATAAAACGACCTGGTAGCATTTGTACTTTACTGGTCTGGCCTGGTCCAAAGTTATCCACAGTGGTTTTGAAAGTGTGGGACAGTAGAGTACGTGTTCTGGGGCAATGGGAGTAGACAGACCAAAGGGCCTGTTTCATCCAGATTGGTCATGCTGCCGTGCAGTTGTGTGGGTTCATTGGATGTCATTCTGTTCCATTGCTGATTTTATTTGGTCAAATAGATGATTAGGTTTTACAGTGTACTTAAATATTGGGATTTCATTTGATAGTTTCCCCTGGGAACGAGTTACACAAGAAGCGAGACCCATGGGGAATACTATTGCAATCTGTCTGGGTCCAAGGAAGTAAATTGGAGACTTGCTAGGATAATCTGTGAGGCCCATCAGGAAAATGTGTTGTGTGGGAATCTGTTGTGTTAAGGCCGGGTCTGCAATCCATGGATTGAGGCAGACAGTAAGCAAGTAGCTCCCTTATGCAACATACTTATCTTAGCCTCTATCCATAGATTTATCAGAAAAGGTAAAAGGATTATTATTAAAAGTATGGGAATGAGAAATTGGGCTCAAAAAATGAAGGCTTCATTTTTAAGGTAGGTAATTACATTTTACTGCAGCTGGGAGTAGATATAATACAAGTTATATTTATGGTGGGAAGATGCTGGGGAATACAACTGGGGGATAGAGAGTCAATGGATTTAAGAATCCTGAAGTCATTAGCCTTCAAAAGCAATTAAATAGCGGTTCCTCGTACAGAGAGTATAGAAAGATGTTTATCTCTTCAGGAATATCTCATTATATGTATTTGGTTACACAAAACCATTCAGCAAAGTTAAGAAACTGATCAAGGTTTAAATAATTTGGTTGGCAAATATGGACTTAACAAATTGCAAGAAACTTAATAAATTGCATTTAATCCTTTTTGTTTATCTTCCAGATCATTACCAAGGGCCTGACTCCAGCTCCAGCCCAATAGCTCAAATAAGCATGTTTAAGAAAAACAAAAGTCTATCCAAGGTACAGCTATAATCAAGAAATAAGAAATAATCACTTAACTGAATGTCGGTTTAATTTTATCAAATGTTCTGGAGGTAGTGGCACTATCATTCAAATAACTGCACCAGAGACTGTATGGGTGAAGTTTGGAGCTTTCTTTGAGTTATAGCCGTGTAAACTCTCACCCACCAGTGTAGTGCACCGATCTAGGTACCTTTCACCATTATATTGAATCTATATTGCACGTGTTGTTTTGTAAATTTCAAGTTCTACATTGGGTCTTGTAAAAATTATTCCTTTTTGTTGAATATTTATTTTCTAGGTTTCATCTGCCAAGGAAATGCAAAATTTCTCCCCAACCAAACGTTTAGTTCTGAGCAGCCCAGAGACCTCTGGTCTGGCTCTCTTACTCCTTAAATTTGGGCGCTAGGAACTGAAAAATGAGAAACGATTTAGTTGGAGGAGTGTGCTACCACCTGGTTGACGATGAGTTGCACTGATTTCATTTAAGGAATGCCACAAACTTACCCTTCACAATATCTGGTGAAGCTACTTGAGTGTCTTGAATACCACCACATCCAGGCTACCATATTTAATGGAAGGCTATCTGGTCACTACCTTCCTTGATTTAAGATGGGGGGATGGAAACCCCATTACTTTGTGGCTGCGTTCTATTATGAGTATCTGAGACTCAATGCTACGCAAGAATAGAACTCCTGGTGGCGATGCCTGATGATCTACTTCAACTTCAGAATGAAGTTCCAGCTCTATGAAGTCTATGGTCAAGACTAATCTTGTCTTCTTACTTATGAAAGAAAGTACATTGAAAGATGATGGGCAGAAGGGAATGGGAAAGAAGGAAAATGGAACTCTGCATATCTGTCTTGTCGATGGCTTTCAAATGATTTCGTTTTCTGTACAGATTGAGATGAATGAGTTTGACGGAAGACAGAGTAACTCTTCTGAAAGTGAGGAAAACCTTGCAATACTGAGGAGGTGAGATCAGCAACTACTTTGTCAAATATAAAAACACAAACATGAAAATCTTTATGAAATTTAGGAACACATGTCCTAAAGGGTATATCAATTTTGCCTTCAAGTAAATTGTTAGCCAATAATTGTAACAGTGAATTTTAAAAATGGCTTATTGTATTCTATAATTGTCTCATCTAAATTATGCAAAAGGAATTAAATAACATTAAAAGAACATTCAACTTTATGGGCTGTGAAATTGCTGTGTGAAAATTGCCTGAAATAATGATTTCCAGAATGTGGCAACGTGGGAACTTGCTGGAACAGTAGCAGACTGCTGAGCAATGAGAAAATAAAAAGACCCCAAATTTCTCAGTCTAAGTGTTGCAAAGAATTGTTTGAAAACTGCTTCCAGATTTCCTTTAGGTGTTAGCTTGGCTCAGTCAGTAGGATACTTGCCTCTCGGATCATAATGTTGTGGGGGTCAAGACTTTGAGCACATTGTTTAGGCTGACACTTCAGTGCAATCTAATGCTGGAAGAGCACTGTATTATTGTTAGTGTCATCCTATGGATCAGACGTTAAACTGAGTTGCTGTTGCCTGCTCATTGAACATTAAAGATCTTATGGTACTAATCAAAGAGAGAAGGGAGCTTTTCCTGGTGTTCTGGCCAACAAACCCCTGAAAAAAATTGTTCATTCACTTCATGACTATTTGTGGGACATTAGTGCGTGCAAATTTGTTGCCATGTTCACATTGGAGTGCTTCACAACGACTGGGTCAGACACTGGGAAAGGGGAAAATGACCATATGTGCAAAGTGGTAGAATGCACAATCAGCATACTTTACAGTAAATCCTGTGAAGTGCTTTGATATCCTCCTAATGTAAAAGGCATATCAAATGCAAAGATTATTAGTATTTGTACTACACTATGCATTTTGCATAAGATTTGTTTTCATTAGCCTTTGCTAATAGGTCAATGTTACAAAGCCATGAGATGATAAGGAGTCTTTATAAACTCCAGGCTGAATCTCTCGAGACAATACAAGATTCAGTCAAGTTTGCTTCTGTTTATAGCTAGTTTAAGTGTTTCTTATTTTAGCATCTTGATGCAAAGTGGGGTTTGAAGAGAATTCTGTATTTCTTCTTTCTATAGACACGTAATTAATGAATTGATTGAAACAGAACGGGTCTATGTTGAGGAATTACTTTGTGTACTGGAGGTAAGTACATCAAGTTGAAGTCTATACAGAGTAAAAAATCATTGAAATGAACTATGTTATAATGTGGGTTTGCTTAGCGTGTGATTGGGGGTGTGGACCCTTACATTTACTTGGAGTGCAGGACATGTTGGCAGCAACTCAAACACCTGGTGACCATCATCTTTGTAGCAATCTAGCTTTCTCAGCAGTGAATATGGAAGAGTTGAATTGTGATCTATTATAACTCTCCAATAAGTGTTATAATTGGGCGCTACTGTAATTCAAAACAGCTTACCTTCATATTGTGCTGTTCACATATAACTGGTTAACGTGCTTTAAAATGACTGGGTTAAACGTTGGGGGAAATGACCATAGGCACAAAGAGATAAGTTTTAAGGCAGAACCTAATTGAGAGGAGGTAAGACAGAAGAGTAGAATGGGGGAGTTCCACAGGTTAGCAGCATAGTAGCTGAGAGCTCAACCACTGACAGTGGCACAGAGGATGTGCAGCAAACGTGAGTCAGCTGAGCGGGGAAAGTGAGCAGAGGAGTGGCCTAATCTGCAGAATGAACACAATTAATTTTTAGTATCATTGTGTAGTTCAGTTTGAACGGCAGGACAGAGCAATTCACAGTCACTGATTTTATAGGGCTTAATTGGATCGACCATTAATCAGTTGGAGGCACTCTAATAAGTTCCCGGTTCCTCTGCCAAGCATTGTATTGTGTTCCCAGGGCTACGCTGCTGAGATGGAGAATCCTTCAATGATCCTCCTCATGCCAATTGCTCTGCAGAATAAGAAGGACGTGCTGTTTGGCAATATGCCTGAAATATACGATTTCCACAACAGGTAAGAAACTAGCTATTACAATGTGTCCAATTGGCTGCCGTGTTTTGCCCACAAAATATACAGTCAATTCACCTTACAGTATATTCTGTGAAGCACTTTGACATGTCTCGAAGATGTGATAAGGAGCTATATCAAATGCAAGGATTACTATTATTATTTATTGTTATTACAAACAATGTGTTTTTTAGATAGTTTAAATAAAATCTCTGAATTGAGAATTTTTTTTGTAATTTCAGGATTTTCCTAAGAGAACTGGAAAATTACGTAGAATATCCAGAGTTGGTGGGAAGATGTTTTCTAGCGAGGGTATGTGAGTTATTACAGTTGGTAAATGTTTCAAGATAACCTACTGGTTTTTCGTAGCAAAATGATATCTTAGAGGAAACCTTATACAAGATGAACAGGTGCCAGCTCGGTTCAATTGGTTGTATACTCGAGAATGAGTAAGCAATCCTGGAGCAATGCACCTCCTTGTGGCAAATGGTAATACAGCACTGACTTCTGAAATGCGCAGTCAAAGGAATTCCTTCATTCACGTAGGATTCTTAGCATTCATACTCGGAAAGAAGTTTCCATCTATATATGAGACTGCATATTAAGTGAAATGAATTGTCAAATATGACTCACGTTACTTGAGAGTAAACATGTCTTAAAACAAATCGTACCGGAACATCAGCAGGCAACTATATGGAGCTACATCTATAACCTCACACAAGGGGAACCCAGAGTTTGGTGTGGGATACTGCTGGAGTTTAACAGCTAAAACCATGTAGCTTGCTACTGTGAACAGTCTGACAAGCTTCTCACAGCTTGTCCAGTTAGGATCACACAACCTGTTATGACCTTGGCTTGCAGGGTAACAGTAACTGAATAGGTAGAAGCAATTGTCTTGTTTACTCCTCAGAGTCATGGTAACAAACTAGAGTGGATAGTCTGTCATTGACAGTTGAACATAAACATACAAAAGACAGAGATTTTCTATGTGGCTCACTGAGTGGTGTTACAATAGAGTATTAATGGGCAGGTTGAGACTTTGATGTAGGAAAGTGTTCATATTGTAATTACTCATTTGAAGAATTCTGTTTATTGTGTACAATGTTTCAATGGTTGCCTTTGCAGAGGGGAGAGCTGCAGATTTATGAGCGGTACTGCCAAAATAAGCCACGGTCAGAAAGCCTATGGAGACAGTGCTCAGACTGCGTCTTTTTCCAGGTACTTTAACTTCATCTTAAATATCCTGCACATTCATGAAAAAGACTGTGCTTCTCTTTGCTCTGCTGCTTGTTCTTGTAGTGTTAGCAAAATCTATAGTAAGGTTTATAAGAATAGTTAACAGCGTAAGGGAGAGTGAATCGGACGCCTTCGACCTTTTGAAGATTAAATCTGCTAAACTAATGGCCCATTCATGATGATAATCGGAGCTTAATTGAACCATTTTCCACTTCTGACACATCTGCAACACGCCTGTCCAGGTTGGCTACTGGCAGGGTTGTGTCTAAGTGAATTTTGGTGGCACCAAAAATAACTAACTAATGGCTATAAAACAACTCCTGTTCTTGCCAAACTGGAAGTACAGAGTTGAAGTACAATGTTTCTGGCAGTGCAGCAATTATCATGTGCAGTGTTTTAAAGAAAATTAGGGGAGGGGGAAACCTGCACTTGTACGGATATAATGTGCTTTCTGGTTCAATTTGGTTTAGTTTTGCTTGTTTTGTTCTCTCCCCACATCTTCTCAGTGAATAGAGCAGGATGCTAGTGATGAATACCATTACAAAGGTAGTGATGTGAGTGAGGAAAGCAAGAGAGCTTCAGCTGGTCAGGCGAATGGTTGGTGATCAAGCCGGCATTTAGTTTGTAAGTAGGGAGGGTGACATCAATGTTTCAGAAAGAGGATCTCTTCTCAACCTTTTATAATGACTACAATAGCAATTATACATGGGTAAATGTATTTGAAAATTCTGTTAAATAATAAAACTGTGAGTGAAGAATTGGAATCGTTAATATTGTCTGTTTTCTTGTATGTTTTGTGAAACTGTTCCGTGTTTCAGGAATGCCAGAGAAAATTGGAACATAAGCTGGGCTTGGATTCCTACTTACTGAAACCTGTTCAGCGAATCACCAAGTACCATCTACTCCTGAAGGTAAGACTTGTCTTTACATCAGTGTTGTTCTAAAAGAACTCTCGCAAAGAGCTGAAGGCTAGAATTGTCTTTTAAGGATATTACTATTGAGCTGAAGAGAGTGGCCTGGCCAGAAGACAACAAATAAAACTTCCATTCATGTAGCGGCCTTCACTCAGGGTAGTACCTTGGAGTGGTAGGAACTCCACATTGTTCACTCAGAGCTGTTCAAAAAACATCTCTTCAAGACTTTGTTTAATATTCTGAGGAATAATCAATTTCTTTGTGCACATGAAACTCTGCCTATCCATCACCAGACTTTGCCAGGCTTAGATTTCAGGAATTTGAAATCGATCTGCTCTCTCCCAGCAGATTGATTTCAAATTCCTCATCTATTAATTCCCTCACTCCCCACCACTTCCCCCTTTCTCTCTCTCACTCTCTCTCTTTGATCTCCTCCTACCCACACCTCTGCTCATCAGAGTTTATTCTCCTGGGAGGGCCAAAATCCAAGCCCTACTAGCCCCAAAAGAATAAAATTTAATAATAAGTGGTCTAGGAGCCTCAGAATTTATTCAAGTTGTGTTACTTTTACGGAATTTCTAGCCCAGAGTAATGTTGAGTCAGACTGATAGTTGTTCCCTAAAATCACAAATGTAGAGATTTATAAGTGGTTATTTGGTTTGACAGGAGTTACTAAAGTACAGCAAGAACTGTGAGGGAGCCGAGGATCTGCAAGAGGCATTGACGGCTATCCTGGGAATCCTGAAAGCGGTGAATGACTCCATGCACCAGATTGCCATCACAGGATATGAAGTAAGTGACAAGCTGACTTCCCAGGGCAAAGAACAACCCACATTGCAGTCCCACTGCATCTGACACATCAGTGCTTAACAAACTACTATCCGTAATGTTTGTCCCAGCCCCAGCTTGTGTTGCCTACTTATGTTCAGGACTATTTTATTCAGGTGGTGTTTTATTTGCCGTTTGTAGGGATTGCAATTGCGGAATTTCGGGAGCACGCTAACGGTGCTCCTGAAATCGAGAGATTGCAACTCCCCCTTAGCCACCTGAGATGAAGGAAGTAGTTGATGTTTCTGAAAATTAAAAAATTAACATCAGGTGCCAAACAATGACATATTAGAGGGCTTCAGTGTCATTGACAAGTCATGAAAAACAGTTACTCTTCATCAAATATTTTGGGCAAAAATCTCAGCTTTCAATCACAGAACAGCAGATTTCATCAAGTAAAATTTTAAGCACTCTGGGTCCGGCCAGGCGTGGAGAGTGCTATATAAATGCAAGTGGTGTTGTAGGATATCAGCATAACTCACCCAGTCAACTGTCAAAGCACTAAAAAGTCAAGGTTTAGCTGTTGGTGGGATATTGCTGTGGGACCAATTGACTGCTGTGTTTGCCTGTAAAATACATTGTTACTGCACTTTACAGTAAAATCCTGTGAAGAGCTTTGAGAAATCCTCTCATCATGAAAGGCTCTATGTCAAATCAAAGTATTATTAAAGCAGTTTCAGTTGTTTCTGCCTTTAAGTTGAAAAAAATACATATTTTGTCCAATCACTCAAAGGTGGCAGCCAAAATTGATTTAAATAAACTCCTACAGTGCAAACCACTGGCCCAAAGCTACAGCAGTGCTTAGAGCAGAAGCAAATCTAAATCTTAATTGAAATTCTGCCATTTCATTAAAGAGGTAATGTTGTAATTATCTCAACAACAACAAAATTACATTTATAGAGCGCCTTTCACGTCGGGAGGATGTCCCAAAGCGCTGAACAGTCAGGTGTCAGGGCCCGAGCATGGGGAAGGGGTGGTGTAAGGGTGAGGGAAGGCGGAGAGGTGGGAGGAAGACCAAAGCACGATCGAAGAGAAGGGTCTTGAGACCGGCCTTGAAGGAGGCAAGGGAGGAAGCGAGGCGAAGGGACCGTGGGATGGAGTTCCAGAGTGTGGGGGCAGAGCCGCTGAAAGCCTGGCCACCGATGGTAGGGCAGGAGACGTGGAGCAGACCGGAGCGCAATGAACGGAGGGAGCGGGCAGATTGGTAGGGAGTCAGCAGGTGAGGACGAGAATCTTGAACTCGATCCTCTGGGGGATGGGGAGCCAGTGGAGTCGGGTGAGGGTGGGAGTGATGGGGGCGCGGAGCCTGGTGCATGAGAGTGCACATGCTGCAGAGTTTTAGATGGTCTGGAGCTTGTGAATTTATTTCATTAAATCTATAATCTATAATTGAAATATTGCAAAAGCATTACCCAAATTCAATCACCAGCAACATCTTTAATTGAAGACCTGACAAAGTGTTTCTTCTTTCAGGGAAATTTGAATGAGCTTGGAAAGCTTTTGATGCAAGGCTCTTTTAACGTGTGGATAGACCATAAGAAGGGCCATGCAAAAGTCAAGGATTTAGCGCGATTCAAACCAATGCAGAGGCATCTGTTTCTCCATGAGAAAGTATTGCTTTTCTGCAAGCGGAGGGAAGAAAATGGCGAGGGATATGAGAAAGCACCATCATACAGTTATAAACATTCTTTAAATGTAAGTACTTTTACAAGATGATGAATTTCCTGTTCATGTAACAATATCCTTCTACCATTCATGTCCTGGTTTTTGTATTGCTGCTCGTACTTCCTGAATGCTCCTTGTATCTTGCATATAAAAGAGTTCCCAAATACTGATCCACCATTTACACAGAGGCTAACTTAAATGGAGGGTAATTAATAACTGGAAAGAGTTACCAGAAAAGATGGTTGAGGCTAAGACACTGGATTTGTTTAAGAAACCACTTTTTGCTTTAATGGAAGGATGGTGGGGTGGATGTTTATGAAGAATAAGATCAAATGAGCCAAAGGGCCTCCTTCAATCAAACCTATTTGGGATTTACCACAAAAAGATGTTGCCTTAAGCAAAACACAGTTTAAGAACACAAAACACAACGCTTCAGAACATGAGAATGATAGTGGGAACGATTCAAGCCAAGGTGCCTGTTCTGCCATTTGCTTTTTAGTTCATGACAACTCTTATCTTTCTAATCCTATTTCCTGGCAATATCTCCATTTTGCTTAATATCTTTACTTCCCAACTGTGTCTTTATCTGCCTTTTAAACACTAAGTGATTCTGCATATAAAATGATGATGTTTGAAGTAAAATTTCTTGGTAAAGGAAAGGGGGAGGGGAAAGCTCCATAAAAATGTATTTGTTATTTTACTGGTATTTAGCATCAATGCATTATTTTACAAACAATTTAGTAAAACTGTATAAATAAAAAAATATTTTAATGACGAATGTATATGTACAACTAATGATACTTGGACCGTGTTTTAGACAATAATATGTACACTGCGGTTTATGTATTAACAAATGGAATAGAAGTTGTGCAGCAATTGAGGGGAAGTCTGATTTTTCCTTTCCCTTGTGCACGTGCTTGTCTGGTGGGGAGTGATGTGCACAAGGCAAACAAGAACATTTAATGTGTAAAGGACAAGGTGAAAGAAGCTTTTTACACCACTGAAAGAAATGGATATTGTGGGCTCACTTTCACTGATTCCGATTTGGATACCAGCGGAATCCAACGATCCTCTAAACAGATCATATCATCTACCATAAGGAACAGGTGTCCTTGTAAGGAGTGTAAGTGGCATGGGGGGGTGGAATCTACTAAATTAATTCTTTGAATGGATAGATCTAACCAGATTCATGGTAGTACCCCGCTGCACCACAATCTTACTATAGACGAAGGAAAATAATACCAAGAGGACACAGATTTGTAGAATTAATCTCATTTGATTTTACTTGCCAGCTTAAAACAATTGCAAAACTCTTGTTGTATAAGCAACCTTCCCCAGCATTTGCACACACACACACAATTGCGCACAACTATTTGGTTCAAGCCATTTAAAATCAATGGTTTCTTCAAATTCAGTGTGTAGACACAGCACATCATTAAACTGCTTATACTTTGCAGATGACAACTGTGGGCATCACTGAGAATGTTAAGGGAGATCATAAGAAGTTTGAAATCTGGTACAATGCGAGAGAAGAAGTTTACATTGTGCAGGTAAGCGATTTATCAGCTATTGTGTTAACACTGGTTAGGCCTCAGCTGGAGTACTGCGTCCAGTTCTGGGCACCTTACTTCAGGAAGGACATTAGGGTGCAGAGGAGATTCACGAGAATGATACCAGGAATGGGGAACCTTAGCTATGAGGACAGACTGGAGAAGTTAGGACTTTTCCCATTAGAGCAGAGAAGGTTACGCGGGGACCTGGGAGAGGTCTTCAAGATCATGAAAGGCTAGATAGGGAAAAGCTGTTTCCACTGGTAGGTGTCACAGTCTTAAGATATCTACCAAAAGAAGCAGAGGGGAGGTTAGAATTTTTTTCACTCAGCGAGTTGTTCAAATTTGGAATGATCTGCCTGAAAGGGTAGTGAAGTCCGATTCGATAACAGCTTTTAAAGAGAGAACTGGATAGGTATCTGGGGAAGCCGGGTTTGCAGGGTTATGGGGAGAAAGCTGGTGATTGGGGTTAGTGAAAGTGACTTGCTCTGTCAAAGAGCCGGCACAGACTCGATGGGCCGAATGGCCTCCTTCTGTGCCGTAACATTCTATGAATCTATGAAAAAAAATGAATTTGTAAATAAGACTCCATAAATTCAGTATTGTGCAGCATTATTAGGACCTACATCAGGAAGTATTTATTTACACAGAGTCTAATGAACAGGTTATAAGGAAGGACAGTAAGACGATTGCAGGATTCATTTAAGAAAATGCTTCATGCTGTAATGGAAAGATAGTAGGATTAGTATTCTGCAAGGGTTAGATCAAATGGGCTGATGTGTCTTCTTCTGAATCCCCTTATGATCCTGAGCATCTGCTTATTCTATATGATTGTTCAGCTAACACTTCACAGCTCTGGTGCCTGAAGCTATGTTAGACATGGAAACTATGTGACTTCTATCCAATATAAAGTGGTGTTGAAACCCAATGGTTATCTGAATGTCAGATTGTGCTATTTTCTCCTCTTTAGGCAGCAACACAAGAAATTAAAAACACATGGATAAATGAAATAAGAAAAATCTTAACAGGTCAACTTCAGGCTTATAGAGGTAAGAAAACCCTTTAGCACCAAAAGTATATTTATGAATAATAATGTCTTCCTATTTCATTTCAGTACAATCTATAGATGATTGGTCCATAAATATACTGAAAAAATAAAATGGTTAAATCTCTCGGTAAAACCAGTAAATCTTTATGTTTCCCCAAAATGGTATTTTTAATTTCCAGCTTCCCCAAGGAAGAGACCAGCACAAGACCAGTTGTGAAGGTGCATATTGTGGGGAATGGGAAAAGAGAAGGTGTTCCCAGAGCATCTATCTATATTTTAAAGAGTTTGCAAGATTTCATTTCTAAGGCTTTCTCTTTGAATATGACTAGATGCCATTTTGAAACCCAAACTTTCAGATTGGTGTGTGTTGATGTAATATAGCAGGTCTCCGCAGACCTTCTGGGGTCAAATAACAGCACTTTCCTTCCTTTAGATTGGCTGCCCGATTATGAACAAGTGTGTGTTTCCCATCTATTCCACTAGAAGGAGCACCGAGGCAGGATAAGGGAAAACTCAGTAGTTGCTTCACCAGAACTATCTGCTTTCCAAAATATTGAATGAGGAAACATTACCTGACACATTATAATGTATGCATCTCCGGGAGGAAAAGTAGGCATGTAAAAAAAAGTTTACATCTTTTTAATGCTGAAATTTATGGAATTTTATTAATATTACAAGAGAGGAATAAAACACTGCCCTTTTGTTTTTTGTAAAAAAAAGTATTTCCATTTGAAGTCCAAGTTGTGATGTTTCATAATATGATTTTTTTGCATTTCTAAACCTGATTTTGTCTTTTACTTTAAGGTAGAACATTTTTGGTTAAACCTCTATTGAGTATAATGCCTTTCTGGATCTTTTTATCAGTGGGGATGAATAGATAATGCATTATAGGTTGCTGCATTGCTGCAAGATCTGGTAGCTTTATGCTAAATTTTAGCAACTCTGTTCAGACTACCACATTCTGCTAGTGCTTGGAATAAGTAGATATTTATGCCCAGCTGTGCATCAACACTCTAAAAGGGACGTAAAGTAATATTTTCTCAAATTTAACACATGGTTTTGTTTCTTTCTCAAAAATGTAGGTGCACTGGTTAAAAGTCTTATTTTTCTTTTGTAGTCACTAACCAGAATCAAAAGGTGGAGAACACATCCATGGCTCCTTTAGCTTCACCCATTCACACAAGGCAAGTATTACATGCTTACAATTAGTGTAAACTAACAAAGGACCTCTGATGGCTTAGATATCACTTCAGACGTTTTTCTTTCTTTGATCAAAGAAGGCTTCTTGCAGTGTGTGTGCCTCTAATGTTTATTTAAAGGACATTGTAAGGAATTGTCTCTGCATATTAAATACCAAAGAGAGATGGACAATTACTATTGTCTCTCAGTTGTTGCCTTTCACAATATCCTTAAAATTGATGGCTGGAGGCATGTTGTATAGGACTCTTCACAATGCCATGTCAGTGATCGTTCATCGCACATTTGTTTCCACACAGTTTGAAGGCAATAAATTATAGTTATAAATGTTGATTACGTTACTATAAATTGTAGCAATTGTGGCATATTTGTATCTCTGTCCCTTTTTTTTCTAGTTGTTCTTCCACTGTTTTTCAGTGTCCAATTTTCTCTCCCTTGTCCTTCACTATTCCAGTGTGATTAGTTTTCTCCCCAAAAGATCCTCATTGACTGTCTTTTGCTGCAGGCTGTTAGCCACTTGCAATGCAGAAGCCTCTTTCTTCTGTGTGTTGGTGCTGATTTTGTGTGTACTGGCTAACAATAAATGTTATAATTATCTAGGGTTTTCAAGCTCAAAGTGACAAAGCATTGAACAATTGCTTCAGAGTTGTGTTTTTCGAAGAATTCAATGTGTTTATCACTAATTCAATCTTTTTAATTTCTAATTTTTTTCTCTTCACTTGCTAGTCCCTTGCGGAGTCAATCGAAAATAAGAAGGTCTGAAGGTGTGAGCCTCGAAAATCGCAACATTGCATTGGCCTTGCTGAAAAGTCAGGAGAAAGGGAAAGGTACCATAAACAATAAAAGGCAAAGCTCAGCTGGATTCAGCAGAGTAAATTTATATCATAATAATAATATTGGGAATGGTGATGATTGTATTATCAACACAGATGTGATGGCAAATGTTTCTGTACTGTAATATTCCATAATTCGACAGAAAACTGAGTAAGTGACTTGAAGCAGGAGGAAATGATGAGATGAGAAGCTTTGTTTGGCAGTTTTGCTGTTGGATTTCAGTTAACCATCCCCGCCCCCACTGGAATCCTGTGCCTCAGTGGTTAGAGCACTCGACTTGCAAACAAGAGGACCTGGATTGCTTTTCTGGGGGTAATAATCCCTTCAAAAATATATATATTTAAAAAAATGGTCACTAAATCCATGACGATTTGTGGGACACTGCTGTGTACAATTGGCTGCCACCTTTTGCCCACAAAATATACAGTCAAGTCACTTTACAGTATATGCTGTGAAGTGCTTTGAGAAGTCTCGAAGGTTTGATAAGGCGCTATATCAAATGCAAGGATTATTATTATTATAGGCTTAGTCTATCATCCATCAGAAGAAAATCACTAAAAATTTTCACATCTATTACATACATCCTTGGGTCCATTGCTTGACCTGCTTATCTCCATCCCTATCACCACCGACAAAGTATCCAACCTAGAAAGAGTGAAATTTAAATCCGACCGACTGAACTATCTTTCTTTTACAGAACTAAAGTTCTTTAAATGGTAAGCGTCGAAAGGATACTGTCTCTTTAATGCTGCTTTTCTTTCAGTGGTTTCTAAAGCCTCTCTTTGACCAACCCCTCCTCCAACCTGAGCACAAACATCTAATTGTTAGAATAGGTAGAACCCAACGTGTGACCATAAAGTCCAGGGGCAACCTGTTGTTCTGCATTTCATCTTGATCATCCTTCCTGTCAGAAACTTGTTAACAATCTCAGAAGGTTTCAGTAAATCCATAATGGATCAATTGATTTATCCCATATTATTCACTGATTTGGGATGATATGTTAAGTTTGGTGCAATGCATTGCCATTGAACATTGGATTACTAGCAATTTGGTTTGATTTGAAGATATGAAAAACCAGCGGTCAGTGTAAGGACCACTGCTCTTTTGAATCTATATAAAAGACCTGGATTTGGGTATGGAGAGTAAAATTTCCAAGTTTGAAGATGGTACAAAGCTAGGAAAAATAGTAAATGGTGAGGAAGATAGTAGCAGACTGCAAGAGGACATAGACAAACTGGTGAAATGGGCAGACACATAGCAGATGAAATTTAATGCGGAGAAATACAAAGTGATGCATTTTGGAAGGAAAAATGAGGAGAGGCAATATAAGTAGATGGTAGAATCTTAAAGGGGGTGCACGAACAGAGAGACCTAACCCTAACCCTAAGTTAATCTTTGCAAATCTTTGAATGTGGCACGACAGGTAGATAAAGCTGTTAAAAAAGCATACGGGATACTTGGCTTCATAAATAGGGACATAGAATACAAAAGTAAGAAGGTTATGATGAATCTTTTTTTTTTTAAACACTGGTTAGGCCTCAGCTAGATACTGTGTTCAGTTCTAGGCACCACACTTTAGGAAGGATGTCAAGGCATTGGAGAGGGTGCAAAGGAGATTTACCAGGAATGAGGGACTTCAGTTATGAGGAGAGGTAAGAGAAAGCAGGATTATTCTCCTTTAGGCAGAGAAGGTTAAGGGAAGATTTAATAGAGGTGTTCAAAATTATGAGGGGATTCGATAGGGTGAACAGGGAGAAAGTGTTTCCACTAGTGGGTGGGTCAGTAGCCAGAGGACACAGATTTAAAATAGTTGCTAAAAGAACCAGAGGGGAGGTGAGAAATTTTTTTCACATAGCAAGTTGTTCGGATCTGGAACGCATTCCCTGAAAGGGAGGTAGAACAACTTTCAAGAGAGAAGTAGATAGATATTTGGGGAGGACAAATTTGCAGGGCTATGGGGAGAAAGTGGGGATGTGGGATTAATTTGGACAGCTCTTTCAAAGAGCCAGCACAGAAACGATGGGCCGAGTGGCCTCCTTCTGTGCTGTGTTATTCTGTGATTCTATGTTTGTTGTTATTTTTGTTGATTCTGGTCCATGTTTGTCATTTTCAATCTACCTTCCAGGGTTACAGTGTTTTGTTTGATCTTGGACTGACAGCTGAGCTGAGGTCCTACATAACAGTTGAATTTATACTCAGTGCAAACAATTGGATGTGAAGTTACATCACTCAGCCCACTGAAAGCAATTCTGCCAGCAGATTTGGACTTGTGTTCAGGACAAGCTTGATGGGGAAAAATCATTTCCCCCAAGTAGAGAGATCAAAAACAAGAGAACATTGTCTGTGGCAGAATTGATTGAGATGTTTAAAAGAAAGATTTTGATATGTACTTGGGAAATGTGGAATATTGACAATGAAGAAGAAAAAGCAGCGAAATGGGATTTAAAAGATCTGTTCCGTGATCTATTGGCCGAATGACCTATTTCAGATCCTATATTCCTGAGGAATTTTACTGATATGTATCAAGTGGATGACAATTCCAGTGACTTATAAGCAGGAGGGAAATACAAGATTCAAGTCAGGAATTAAAATGTTGGGAATGGTGAATAATAAAACCTAGTTTTTGTATTGTTATATAAAGATTTCCTTTTGACGAAATGTGCCTTTGATACATTTAGAGCTAAATAGCATAAATTTAATTTCAGTTCAGGAAAAATATTACCATTCTATGGCAAACTCTATAATTCAGGCTCCTCAAAAATCTCTATTCTGTTTGCCAATAACAACAACTTGCATTAAAAAAGCACCCTTCACGCTGGGTAGCATCCTTGGCATCTCAATTTGAATGTAGGCAAAATAAACTTGCCTGGATTGATTCTACCTCATCTTGAACAGCTGTGTTCACTTTAAGTTGTTAACATCTTCATTTAATAGTCTTCCTTCTGTCCAAATGTTTGATGTGTTTTTTTGTTCTCTCTTCCTGTTTTTCTTTTCTCTTCCTGTCTGTCTTGCTTCCATGATCCAGATGAAGCTGCAACTAGTGCTACCTCAGACCGTTCTGCAGCAGCTAAAAAACGTCTTACCTTGCAGGGTTTCTCAAACCTCAAAAGTCAGAAAGGTAAACTAAATAAAACCCTGCTACTGAATATCATCTCTATTCCAAAACAATTCTATGGTGCTTGGGTGACTTGGGCCTCCTTTTAAAGGGAGGGAGATTTGCTCTCACATGAAGTACAATTCCACCTGGATCCAGATGTTCTTTATTAACAACATTTCAGAGCATACAGAATTTGGCAGATTTATAGAAGGGAGCTTCTCCTGGTATCCAGACCAACAAAACAAATAGAATTGTTCAATCACTTCCTGGTTGTTTGTTGGACACTGTTGTGTGCAAATTGGCTGTTGCATTCACCTAGTAAAATATAAACATCACTTATTCTTTACAGTAAATCTGTGAAGTGCTTTGAGAAATCATCTCAATGTGAAAGGTGCTGTATCAAATGCAGAGATTTTTATTAATGTAATAAAAAAATTTCAAGTACAGCTTTAATTTTGAAGCCAGTTTTCATTGAGGTCTTTTAAAACCCACAGAATTCAACAATTTGCCAAATTCTGTTTATCTGAAATGCAAAACAACTAACTTAAAACTAGATTTGGGTAGAATTTTACTTCATTAATGTTTTATCCCTGGAAGAGCAAGTGATATGATTCTTGCTCTCTGCCAAGTGAGGGAAGATTTCCCTCTAATTCACCCTTCCTCCCTGTCGTGATGTGGCTGGTTTAATCATAGCAAAATTGCTTGCCATCGGGAACTCAGGTGGAAGTGGCGTGTTAAAGGGGAGAATGGGGATGAAAGAGAGTGAGTTGCTTTGCACCTCACCACTCTACTTCAACATTTGGTGCGTCAATGCAGTACCCAAATGTATTATTTTGGATTCAACTTTTTTTTAATATAACAACACATTTCCCCCAGTGTTCCTCTTATCATTTAGACACTACAATTAATCATCCTAGATAGTTGGTTTCAATAGGTTTTTGGACCATGGAGGACAGCACATTTGAACCCTCATCCAACATCCACACATTTGCAGCTGGGTTGCAAAAGGTAGCAAATGGGGATGAATTCTGTCCCTTTGTCCCTTTCCACTTTTGCCGAAGAGCATTGATCCTAAAACTGTAACTTCTCCAGCTAATGTGAACTAACACATACTGGAGATTGAAGCTGAAAGCTCCTCACAATATGTAACTGATTACTCAGCGTGTAGTGTATTTGCACATAGAGGCACAGGGAACACCAGCAGTCATAGTTTGTAAGAATGCATTCTTGCACAATGTACCAATTGATATCAATGTAGATAATGCACACTGTTGTAATAGACATTCATCACGGTGGATACCTGTTTTGTGTTTCACCACTCATTTTGCATTAGGTGTTTAAAATATGTTCCAATTGCAATGCAGCTTTTGCATACCACTAATATTTACTAACATCTGCAATAGTTCACTGAGCGAGTGGAGACCCTTTTCTGGTATACTGATAAAAAAAACATGAGAAATTCTACTAGTCAGATTAGTTATTCCAACATCCAGTATATTAATTACTGACACTTTGATCACATTCTGCCTTCCGCTTTCCACCACAAAACCGAGAGGAATGAGGTTATAAATCTGTAATATAGGGGGTGAAAATGTGAACTTTCGTATTGGCTGTGTGAATGACAACTACTGTCTTATGTTTGCAGACGGGGTTTTAATTTTCAGCTATTTCTCAGCCCTGGAAAATCTTAAAGAAAAGGTCAAATAATTGGAGACCACAGAATGACCTTTGTTTTAGTGGGTTTGGTGTTGAGTTGCCTGATTTTAAGTGGAAAACATGATTAGCGGAGCATCATCCTGTTTGGATTGCACATTCACAACCCAATAGGCCTCTGGATGTTGCACAACAACAACTTGGGACACTTTGAAGATCTCTCACCTTGCAGGGTTTCATTTAATGACTGCTTGGGCTTTTCCTGAAAGGATATCTGAGAAGGTCAACTCGAAGTTTGTCACAAACTGTCTTCTCCCACTCCACAAGAGCAAAGTTGTAGAATTATGAAATTCACTTTCTTAAAGCCATTTGGAACGTTTAAGAGGGAAGCAGATACATGTAGGGGTATCAGAGGGTATAGCAAAAAGGTAGGCAAGTTAATTGAGTTACAGCTCAGTTGTGATCCAAGAAAATGGCAGAGCAGGCTCAACAGGCCGAATGGTCTACCTATGTTCCTAACGCTTGCTGTCCAGACCCATACAAAAGTATCAACTGGCCCTGAATGTATTTAGCAACGGTTTCATAATTGTTGCAACCCAATTTTTACCCTCTCCACATTATTAGATCCGAATAGGGAAGCAAGGGATGTGGAGTTCATTCCAAGAGCAACTTAGTCATACAAGATTACAAATGGTTTTGGTAATATCCACTCTGTATCCAAGAGTTTGCTATTCTCAGTTTAGAAATACAAGGTTTATTTAGGAGCACATGGAAATCACTCAGCATCTAAATGATACACTGGAAAAGCACTATGAAATAGGTGATATTCTGACAGATATTCAGTGGCTGAGGTAAAACAAACTGAAACAGTATGTGAGATGTAGCTGTGTAGAAAAGTTTTTTTTGTCAATAAGAGCTACTCTCATTCTCTATTTCATTTGACCAGTTGGATCCTGTAGTAGTGCTTGAAAATAATAGGATATGTTGGGAATAAAACTATAAGCCAATATTGTAGCTCTGTCGCTTCAAATTGCTGTCCTTAGTAGTTGTAAAGACGGTTGTGTTGTTAGTCAATCTGTCATTTTCATGTTTCTGATTGAGTTTCATTCAAAGCAAGGCCAAGAGAAATGGGTGTTTTTTTATTAAATCTGTGGTGTAAATAGGTGACATTGTAGAATTTTATCTGCATTCTTTCATAAGTCTGAAAATGCTTCTTTTGAGTTATAGAGGTGTGTCAATAATGCATCTTCATGAGAGGCATTTTATGTGCCCTCGATGAATGATTCACTTTTAAATGTTAATGCATTCTGTAATCTCGCTGCTCAGATTATGGACTGTAACAAATCAGATTAATGGGCAGTAAAATTTCACATTTGCAAAATAAATTGATTCAATCACAGATCCATGTTTAGTATTGGAGAGAACTGTAGGGATCGGGTTTGGCTGTGGTATACTTGACAATCAAATACCCTGCAAACACATACTAAGGAACAGCCACTTAGAATGACGTGTTGGAGAGTTAATAGAATTTGTGCAATCTTACCCCAACAATGAGTTACCAATTAATTTTTTTTATTTTATTCAATTTATTAATTCACTTTACAGTATATTCTGTGAAGCGCTTTGAGACATATAGAAGACGTGAAAAGCGCTATATCAAATGCATAGATTATTATTATTATTACCATTTATTGGAGAGGAGGGAAGAAAATTGGGAAGTGGAATACAATTGACAAATAAAATATAATAGAAAAGTCTATATCAATAATCTGTATGTATAGTTTTGGTACAAGTCACATACCCACGTTTCAGATTTTGCCCTCGAGTGTTCCATAAAAGTATTGTTATCAAAACTACTATTCATACTTTGGTTGAGTGCCAAAGGTGACCATTTTACATTTCTAGTGAAGTCATTAACGGAAGTCCGAAAGTTAGCCACAATCCCTCTCTCTCTTTCTGCAGTAGGGGTAGCAGTCAGGCCAAGACCTCAAAGAGGGCAAGATTGGCTCCAAAACACTAATCTGCCTCAAAGGCTAGGCTTCTCCATGAGAAAGCCAGGTGTTGTCACTGCTATTTCTCTCTCTCTCCTCCCCTTCTCCTCCCTCCTCTCTTCCCTTAACCTCTCCCTCCTCATCCACTCCCCCACCCATGACCGTGGCCACCCCCTTGACCTGGTGATCACCTGGGGCCTCACCGTCTCGGACTTCACCATCATCGATAAAACCATCTCGGACCACCACTTCATCTCCCTCAACACCTCAGTACCCCTTCCCCTTTCCCAACCCTCCACCATTACATACTGTCCATGGAAAAACATTTCCTCCCTCTCCCCTGCCCTGGAGTCTTCCGAACTCCTACACCTCTGGCCCTCACTGACCGACCGCTCTCCTCACTCTCTTTTCTCCACAACTCCCTCTCCTCCATTCTGGACTCCCTTGCCCTCTCACCTCCCGAACTGCCTCATACTCCCGTAAATCCCCCTGGTACACCAGCCATCTCCGTTCTCTCAAGGCACAATTGCGAGTTGCCGAACGTGACTGGACTAAATCCAAACTAATGGTCCATCGGCAGATTTGGTTTCACCACTCCAAGATGTACCACTGCGCTCTTGCCTCCGCCAAATCCTCCTTCTACTCCAAGGTTATCTTGAAGGCAAAGGGCAACCCCAGGCTTCTCTTTCTCACCACAAACCGTCTCCTCAGTCCACCTTCCCATGCCTCACCCATCCTCTCCTCAAACTCCAACTGTGAGGAGATGCTGGACGTCCTCGAATCTAAAATCAAGGGCATAACATAACATGTAGGAGCACGAGTAGGCCATTCGGCCCTTCGTGCCTGCCCCGCCATTCAATCATGGCTGATCTTCTAATCTAACTCCCAACTAATAACCTGACCCTGCCTTATCCCCATATCCCTTAATCCCTTTTGCAATAAGAAATCTATCTATCTCAGTCTTGAATATGTTCAAGGACTGAGCGTCAACAGCCCTTTGGGGTAGTGAGTTCCATACATTCACCACCCTTTGAGTGAAGAAGTTCTTCCTCAACTCAGAGCGAAAGGGCTGGCCTCTGATTTTAAGGTTGTGACCCCTGGTTTTAGTTTCTCCAACCAGGGGAAACAATCTCCCACTATCTACTCTATCATGCCCTTTGATGGTCTTATAGGTTTCTAATTCGTTCAGCCACCTCAGCTCCATCCACAGCCACCCATCATCTCTCCCTCATGACCCACCCCCCACCCATCTCCTTCAACCCTATCTCTGTCTCCTCCCTCACCACGACTGTCCACAAACTCAAACCCACCGCCTGTTTCCTCGATCCCATCCCCACCTCTTTCCTCATCTCCCAACTCCACTTTCTGGCCCTTCTCCTGTCCGATGTCATCAACCTCTCCTTGTCCACCGGTTCAGTTCCCACGCCCTAAAAACAGCTGTCATTACCCCCATCTTGAAAAAACCTTCCCTGGACCCATCCCTCCTCTCCAGCTACCGCCCCATCTCTAACCTCTCATTCCTCTCCAAGGTCCTGGAAAGAGTCATCGCATCCCAGCTCTGTTCCTTTATCTCTCGCCATTCCCTCTTTGAACCCCTCCAATCCGGCTTCCGCGCTGCCCACAGCATGGAAACAGCCCTGGTCAAAGTCACTAATGACATTGTGAACATCTGTGATCAGGGCTCCCTCTGTCTCCTTGTCCTCCTTGACCTCTCTGCTGCCTTCGACACTGTCGACCACTCCATCCTCATACATCACCTCTCCGCTTTATTCAATCTTCACGGACCTGTCCTTGCCCGTTTTGATTCCTATCTCTTTCACCGTCTCCACTTTGTTGCCTCTAACAGTTTCTCCTCCAGCCCCGCACTATCACATCTGGCGTCTCCCAGGGCTCTGTCCTTGGCCCTCTCCTCTTTAATATCTACATGCTCCCCCTTGGTGACATCATCTGCAGACATGGGGTCAACTTCCATATGTATACAGTCGAATGTGAACAAGACTGAGGCCCGCCCGATTGGCTTGCGCCAGTGCCTCTGCACTTCAGGCTCTGGCAACATCAACCTCCATGGTTGCACATTACAACTCACCAAGTCAGTCAGGAACCTAGGTGTCTTGTTCGACCCTCAACTGTCGTTTCTCCCCCACATTCAAGCCATGACCCGCTCTGCCTTCCCTCACCTCCGTAACATCGCCTGACTCCGCCACTACTTCACCTGTCAGGCCACTGAACCTCTTGTTCATGCCTTCATCACCTCCAGGCTCGACTATGCAAATGCCCTGCTTGTGGGCCTTCCCAACTTCTCCCTCCACAGGCTGCAGATATTGCAGAACTCTTCAGCCTGTGTCCTCTCCCGCACTGAACTCCATGACCCCATCGCCCCCACTCTTGCCCGACTCCACTGACTCCCTATCCTTCAGAGGATCCAGTTCAAGATCCTGGTCCTCACATACAAAGCTCTCCATGGCCTCGCCCCACCCTACCTCTGTGACCTCCTAACCCCCTACCAACCTGCCTGTTCCCTCCGCTCAGCCGCCTCTGGCCTGCTCCACGTCCCCCGACCCACCCGCCACACAATTGGTGGGAGAGCCTTCAACCACTCTGCCCCCAATCTCTGGAATTTCATCCCCCAATCACTCCACCTCGCCCTCTCCTTAGCCTCCTTCAAGTCCCGCCTCAAGACCCTCTTCTTCTTACTTGCCATCGTCCACCCCCCTTCCCCTCCCCTCCGTTACCCCCCAACTCCAGCTCGGGTCTGAAATGCTGTCCTCTGTCCAAGGCCTTAGGACATCCTCCCGATGTGAAAGGCGCTATGCAAATGTAATCTTGTTGTTGTTGCAAGTGAGAGGAGGATGCTTCTGAAGCACTTCCTGCTTTGTTCCATGAGGTAGACGGTGTCTCCTGGTGCCAAGTGGGTGAGCAACTTCAGCAGCAGAACGGTTTGCAGCCCAGCATCACAGTACACCACGACGTTCTGGACATTGGTGGACTTCTTGTGTCACTTTCACTTCTTGCCCATGACTTCCACCCTGCCTCCCCTAACTTATCTATTCGTTGGTACTCAGATGTCAGTCGCACTCTATTCTTTGAGGCTTTGCTCACCCCGGAGTCTTCTTGCTGGGTGTTGATAGACTTTTTGACCATGGGGAATATCAGTGCTGAGCCTATCCTGTTGTTAGCTAATGTCCATATAACCACACCTTGCAGTAGCAGTAGATGGTTGTCGTAGATGATGATTGTGAGCAAGGAAACCTGGTTGATTCTGTCCTCCAGTATTCATAGAGCATTGTGATATGCTGGCTTGAGATCAGCTCACTCAGCACAGAATTAAACCTATAACTTTTTAGTCTGCATGACTGAATGCTACTTTATCCCCTGAGGTCATTGGAGAAAGTTAGAATGAATGAGTGAGTTCTTTCCAATGTCATTTCTAGCGATGATTTTGCAGCTTTGTGTAAAATATTGCTTTGGCTGAACTTTAGCTTGCTGTTGTGTTTTGGGTAACATTGGCAGTCAGGGAATAGTGAACACTAATATCCCATGCTTACCTTAACAGAATCTCCATCTACAACGGCTAAAAGCCGAACATTGCCACTGACTCTTCGTTCCAGACCAGGTACTTTCCATAGCGTAGTGAAACTTGTGCACGACTTCACGTATTCCTTTTCAATTTCACTGGTCAGATCCATGAGTCATGCATGTACTGTAGTAGTAGAATATTAAATGATATGAATCTTAGTGGATGCTTTCCATAAGTAGAGGCTGCATTTAGTGCCAAAAGTATGGGTGTATAGTGTGGTGATTTTAGTTGGTTCATAGGCTTTGAATGTGATGGGAAAGCAGAAACTATCTACACTAATTTTCTTCACTGTGTTAAAGCATTAGTACACATTGTTGCATATGAATGTCTTCAACCATTTCTTCATCTTCATTTCTTCATGTTGTCTTTTACTGGCTTTTTCTGTTGTTCTGTACAGCATCGCCAACCAGCCCTGACAGTAAGTCTGAACGGCATGAAGTAAAGAGTGACCCAACTCCATTTGGTTTTAGAGGTAGTGTAACCTGAGTTGTTAATATTTCCATGTGAATATTTGTTGTGAACTGACTTAATTGCTCAGTAGAGAATCTCAGAAATGCTGCTCAGCTTTCCAGACAATGAGACCAAGTCTTCAAACGCGATTCGACGTACAAGAGAATATAGAAGGAATACTCAAACATAATTAAGATATTGTTACATCATCCTTCCCTAGTCCTTACTTGTTCTTTTGCCATGAAATGAAGTTGCAGAAGAATTAAATCCCTTTACATTTCCAATAAGGTAGTTCAGCAAAAAAGTGCTTTTAGATGTTTCAAAGTAGCAGTACAAGAGGATCGAGGTTTGGGTTTGTGAAGGGCAATTTCAGGACAGCCTTTTTTTTACACAGAAGGTACAACAGATGAATTTGATACTACAAAGGGCGGTTGAGGCCAGTATGATGGACTCGATAACCCCAGTCCTTGCCAGATTGCACTGGCTGCCTGTCCCAGAGAGGATCGACTTCAAGATCCTCACCCTTGTCTTCAAATCCCTCCACTCCTCTGCACCCCCCTACCTCTCTGACCTCCTCTCCTCCAAACAGAAGCCGTTGCCTTCGCTCCACCGGGTCTGGCCTCCTCCTTGTCCCCCGAATCCTCCGCTCCACCATCGGCGGCCGTGCCTTCAGCCTCAACGCCCCGACGCTCTGGAACTCCCTTCCTCACTGCCTTCACCTCGCCCCCTCTCTTCCTATTTTCAGGTCTCGGCTGAAGACCTTTCTTTTTGACCGAGCCTTTGGTCACCTTCCTCCCACTCCCCCTGGCTCAGCCCCGGGATCCATCTCTGTGAAGTGCTCTGAGATGCCGTCTGGTGTGGAGGGCGCTATATAAATCCAAGTTGTTGTTCTTCTTTGAGGAAACAGCTTGATGCTGTTACAGGAAAGAACGTGTGTCTGTATTCTGGAAGCTTGACATCAAAGAACATCAAAAGATCAAAAGGCCATCTTCATCTGATCTGTTCTTGTGGTTTCTGGGTGGAGTTTGATCTCCTTTACGACCCTTCACATCATCCTTATCATGTGGTGCCAAACATCTGAATATTCTGAAATTGAATTATTTCTGACGCGTGTTTCCTGAGTTCCTATGTTGTGATCCTTGGAAACTAGTCAGTCAAGTTCCAATGAAACTTGAATCATTTTTCTTTTGAAGTTGGAAACCCAAGTTTGAGAAGTTTGGAATAACTTGTCTAACTGATTCTTCAGTCATCTTTCCCCTGCCCTCCCTCCACCTTGGCTTCCACCCCCGGCTTGGGTGCCTGGCCACCATAGTCAAGTTCTTTTGAGACATCCTACTGATGAAAAAGGAGCTATATAATGCGTATTGTGTTGTTCATTGCACTTGATCCAGTTTTCACTATTGGGATTTGTAGGAATATGCTTCTTAGGCACTGAAAAAATCCTACAGGAAGCTACCCAATTCTTTTGCTCACTTTATTAATTCAATCACATCCAAGTTTACTTCTCTATTTATGTAATACTAGATTAGTTGTTACCCTTCTGAATTTCCGTTTCTTCCTCCTTCCGCAGTCTTCCCTTCCTCTTACAATCTGCAGACTTTTCAAAACCAAAGTTTGCTGTCACCAAACTACTTTTCATTTTTTTATCTCATCTCTTTACTCTTTCAAACTAGATATCCTGTACAATGAACCTTGCCGTTGACCTATTCTGTGTCATCATGCACTTCATCCCACTCCATTCTCCTGGAAAAAGGTCTGCATAGATATTCCATGAATCCCAAATGCTATTAAATAAAAACTAAGATTGTTCCTTCCCACTCCTTTATCATTCAAACGTCTCTCAAAAATAATTTATCTTCTTCCCCTCCAATTAACCAGCACAAAAAATGGTGTTTCCTGTGGAGTATTTGTTCTGAGTCTGTACTTATCTCTATCTTCTAGTATTAAACCATCCTTTTCAAAGTAATATGCCCATAACTGCACATAAATATTCCAAATGTTGCTTCACCAATGATCTTTGCAGGGTTAGACTTCCAGTAAAAAGCCTTCAAAGTGCAATCATTTAATTGATTTATTTTGTTGGATCAATGATTTCACGACTGGGGAGAAATTGAAATGGGAATTAATGACAACCATGCAATTTTTTAACCACTTGTCTCAAACAATGCTTTTGTTCTGTTGTGCAATTTTGTACTTAACCAGCTTTATTTATGTTGCAGGCTGGAACAGAACCTCTCACTCCCTCGATGCGACAGAAGAAAATAATGATGGATGGTCCAGTGCTGATGACCAACTGAACTCATCAGATGGAGAAGAAGAAACGGGTAAAAAGATGGTTGGTATCAATGTATGCAAAGGTGTATCTGCACATAAGAACATAAGAAATGTTAGATGAAAAAGGCCAAGGACCATTGAGTTCGCCTTCCACCTTCCTGGCAGTCGCATGCACATATGTCCCAATCTACCTATGTACTATATCCCATAATGTTATTTCCTAGATTCCCTTTCGAAGAAGTTTTTTTTTAGTTCTTTGGATTTCGTTACATTTCCGCATTGATTTTACTTCTCATGGAGAAAGGGAGAGGTTATATACAGTAATTCTGCCAGAGGTTATAAATTGTGTGGCAGTCATTCATAATGGACCATTTCAGTTAAGGCAGGAAGCAATGGGTGGTGGGCATGCAGCTGATGGGTTTCCTTTGGCCCATTTGTGAAGCACAGACCAAAGTGAGGTGGAGTTGTGATAAAACGTGAGCTGGAGCTGAAGGAGGGAGGGCTCGCTCAACCTGATGCTGAGTACCTTGGAAGTGGAGAAAGCTTCATGGTGGGCATGTCTATTTGCTTAAGTCCCTCACTGGAGGACCTGGTTTAAACAGCCGAGGTTGAGTTAGTGTGTGGCAGTTTCAACCCTCTGTGGCAGTCTTGGTAGTCTGATTTCTGAGCCAGACAAGTTCACAGTACTCCATTGCTGGTGACGGACCAGTCAGCCTGGCTCATTGGCAGGTCTTGGAGGGTCAGACCAGATGTAGAGAGCAGGTATTCTTCCCACTCAACATCCTTTTCACACTGCACCCAAAACCCTAATGTATAGGACAGTTCTAGTAGGACATGCAGTGGAAATCTTGCCCGTCAGTGCTTTCAATGGCAACTATGCGGTTTTCGATACTTTAACTGGAACTAGGTAACAACAACAACAAGATTCCATTTATAAAGCGCCTTTCACGTTGGGAGGACGTCCCAAGGCGCTGTACAGTTGGGTCAGGACCCGAGCAAGGGGGAAATGGTCATGGTGAGGGGAGGGAAGGGAGGGAGCGAGGTGGGGGTAGAGAGTCGAGAGGGGAGCTGAAGGTAAGCAGGTTGTGTCCCCCCAGGGAAAGAGTGTACATTCCATTCCAGACACTGGAAGATTTTCATGCATATGTGGAACTCTGTCTGGTTTGAATACTTTTAGGCATGGTGATGGGTTTCCACATGTGTCAGATACTTGACTGATTAAAAAAACTTAAGACTGTGGGAAAGTGGCCAATGTGTTTTCTTCAATTACATGTATTTAATTCTAATTCTAGTTTCCTGGAAAATACACAGTATTATCGGATTATGAAAAAGGAGGCACAGACGAATTTTCTGTACGGAGTGGTGACATGTTGCAACTAATTCGTGAGGGTGAAGAAGGCCAATGGTATGTATACAGTCGTGATTTGTTTAAGTTATTAATCAGTATCTATTTACAAAGATAAGATGGTAAAGTTTGTGGTATTCCTTAAAGTATTCATTAATTTATTTAATAAATGCTTTATGAAACACCAACATGTGGTGCCCCTTATTAGGTTAAGTGGTTTATTCCTCTCCAGGCCCGAGCACTGTCATTTTGTGACTTTCAGACTAGAGAAAATGTATTTAGTAAATAATGGGCCTTAGATTGGGTTCTTGGTGATTTGTTTTACTATTGCTTTCCCAAGATTTATCTGCCAACTGAAGTCTCAGCTTTTCTAGACCATTAGATTTAGCATTTGGTTCCGAGTATGCCAGCTTAGTGCACTTAATCACTAAACATTCATTTTCTGCCGCTGGAATTCTGAGAGGAGCAAAACATTTGCCTGGAAAGGGGATTCACCTGCTGGTGTTCCTTTATAATAGTAAAAATAATCATCCTTGCATTTAATAATAGTGCCTATTACATTGAAACATCCTAAAGTGCTTCATTTATCTCTGGTGGCTGTATCTGTAGGTAAACATGATTGCCAATTTGTATAAACAGGCATGAAGCAAATATCCAATTTTATCTGGGGGATTGTTGGACAGAACGTTGGTAGAAAGGTTTTGAATAGTGACTTTGGGATCTTTAACATCCACCTGAACAGGCAGATAGGACCTTGGTGTAACATCTCATCCAAAGTACTTCCCCAGTGCTGCATTGAAGTGTCAGGCAAGTTTATTAAGCTTAAATCATTCCTTTGTGAAGCTAAGGAATATTTAAGGGGTACTGTACATCTACCCCTTAGATTCCTGTTTGCAAATCTCCTATTTGTTTGAATACTTCACACTAATTTGTAATTTTCATTATAAAACCTTATTATTGTGCAGTAGGCTGGGTCCAATAGTTCACTAACCATGTTACAAGCAAGGTGTGAATGTAAAGCAAGGCATGTTGCCAGGTTGTCACTAATGTCATGTTCTGTGTGTGGTGTGCGAGTGTGTTTGCTAAGTGGGTGCAGCAAGTGACTGGAGGGGGGCTTTCCCTGCATAGTGTATCTGGGAATCAGCTATTGTTTTCATACAGAAAACCAGCTAGTCAGTGCTGAAAACCAGGGTACTGATCCAAAGTACATGCGTGCTATAAAGAAGACAGCCCTGTATCAGAAAGCATAAGGTTCCCTGTATTAGGAAACATTTTCATTGGTTACTTCCAATGTTTTGAGTTGTATTCTGTTCTGAAATGATGTTAACACTAGATTCAAACCTTTATGTTGGGTTTCAATATAACTGTACAGATCACACAGAAAACATTATTGTGGTGGTATTATATGGGTCAGTTGCTTCACTGGTGGAATGAATATATGGAAGATCATTGAGGAATTGAGCATGATGCTCATTCAGACTAATTTTGCTCTTGTTAGGTTTGTGAAAAACCTTAACACAAATAAAGAAGGCTGGGTACCAGCTGCTAACCTACAGACACTTATTGGAGATTCCAAGTCTTTTCAATCTATAAGCAGTTCAGGTGAGAAAACAAATTCTTATTTTCCAGTCTGCTACCCAGTGCTATTGAGAATTTTGATCATTTTTAGTGGTGTTTTAACAGAATGAGAGGTTTAGTTTTGTTCATGTTATTGAGTGTTCACCTCTTAAGGACTGTAATTTTCAGTAATTTTCTGTGTTGCTATCTCTTTTCTGAATCCAGAGTCAGCCAGTGGTTCAAGTACAATGAGCTCATCATCCAGCTGTGCTGAAAGTTGCACTGTTTGTAGCAACGGTGTCTCGGATATTAAAGGCTAAGAACTATCTAACTTGTGACATTTGTGGCATTTTGAGGGGAAAATTTCCCATTATTGATGGTATTTCTTCCTATCTGATCTCAGTTCTTGCCTGTTTGGTGATGGGAGTTTCAGTTCCACTGAGGCTCTTTGTGGCTCTATTTCAAGTAATGCCTAAAGACACATTATTGAGAGACCTTCTGAAACAGGAAAATACAGGACTGAAAGAGTTTCATCAAAACATCTTCACTACTGCCGATAGCTGTGTGCACTGGGTGAAGATTTACAGTCGATTAGGATTCATACCTGTGGTGCCAAGATCTGTTTTTGATGGACAAGCAATGAAATGACAAAGAAAATGGGCACTTGCCAAAGCCTTAGAATGGAATCGGATTAAATAATGCAATAGTACAATTTATTAATTTAAAAGCAACACTTATATCTGCTCACAGTTGAAAAAATCATTGATATCACACTATGACTACACCACACATCCAGGGAATGAAACCACAAATACTAAGGCTGTCTTAAGTAATGGAACAGTACTTTGTAAAATGCTTTAAATGCATACATTTCAAATTAAATGGCTAATGATATTGAACTGCACTTTATAGAAAGAATTCCAAACCTTCATTTTTTTTTCCCCAAAAGCTTGATTTGTGCACTTTTTCATCATGTGGACTCAAACTACTTATTTGCAGGACCTAATGAACGGTCCACATAGCACACTGATGGTTTTTATTTTCAGTCACCACTGTGAGGGAATCAAGAGATGTAATTCAAGGAGAATCCTACACTTCTGAAAACTTTTTTTAAAAAAATCAGATTGAGTATGTCATTTCCGGTACTTTGGCCTTTCAGTGAAGTACTTTTGACTGTTTACAGTATATGACCAATTAATCTCTCTGTTCGTCATTTGTTATTATTTCCAATATGTAAATTGTTTAAAGAAAACTAATACTGTAAATTTGTGAATTGGGTAGGTTTTGCACATCCTAAGTAAGATGATGATGTATATGAAATTAATTCCGTGTTTGCGTAGCTCCGAACCTGATCCACTGCTCCAAGCTTCTGCTCAAAGGGCAAACTGAACCTTCAGTTTTTTTTGTCAGCTGATAAATCACCATGTTTACATATGGAAATTCCCTTGGAAAGGAATGTACACTTTCTCCATGGAGGGATGTATCCTGCTAACCTAATTCCAGAGAATATTATGCGCAGGCTTGGGAACCCCAGAGTATACGTTGGGGTACTGCTGGAGTCTAACCAGCTAAAACCGCATGGCTTGCCATTGAAAGGACTCTGTTGAGCTTTCCTGCTACTTGTCAAGCTGGGGCCATTCTATATGTTATGGCTTTGCAGGGTTAACAGTAGCTGAGTACGAAGAATCCCTGCCTCCATTGACTGGTCTGTCCTTCCAAATCCTAAAATGAGCCAGACTGGCTGGATCCTTATCAACAGTACCTTGGAGTACTGCGGACCCGCCTGGCTCATGAACTGGGCCACTGAGGCCACCATAGAGGGTTGACTCAATTCTGACATTCCATTGCCAACCATGTAAGGTTTATATTCGATCTAAATTTATTTTCACTGAAGCTGGTTCAGGCAAAATTACCATCAATTTATTTCAAATCTGTTGGTAACACAACTTTCTGCAGTAATGAACATTACATTAATTACAAAGATACTGCACAAAACAGTTGAGTAAAATCCTACAGTAGTTCAAATTTGGTCAAATGAGATTCAAAGCAACAGAAACTAAGTTTGCATAAAAGAGCCAAATGGAGTAAATATTTGACAATATAGGTAACATAGTGTAAAATGCACGTGGGCCTCATGTTTGTATACACTGTGGAAATGCATAATGTTTTGATGTTAAATTGGAGTGCTTTGACAAATCTCCAGAAGTTCCAAGATGCTATTTGCACAGCAAAGAACTCTACTTTCCCACATTACCTCCCCCACCTTCACAAAACGACTTGTCTTTTACATAGCACAAGCAAGTGTAATTTTTTTAAAAGCATTTTGTCATGTCTTTCCTTCACTGCCACATGAGGTTTTATTAGGCCAGGTATTTTAGTTTAACATGTGGTCTGGTATAAGTTTATATTCTTGTACCTCCTAAAACATTGCAATAAAATGTTACATTTCACTGCACTTTGTGACCTGTTTTTGCTAATTTCTACTGGTGATGTAAATGAACTTTAGAATATCTAAATGTGGCATTATTTCTGTATTATAATTGTATGTATGGAAGTCTGACTTGAATAAAATTCAGCAAAATGTACTGAAACCTATTCTTTTAACATTTATTTTCATTGCATTTTTGCACTGCCCTCAATTCACAAGATTGCATTTTATTATTAAATTGAAATCAATTTATAAAGGGAATATAAAGTTGATAAACCTAGTTGGATCTTTCTGGAGTTCTTACATACACTCGCCACAAACATTTGCATAGAATAGCAATGATAGAATACCAAGCCCCTCCTGGAAAGGAGCCTGCGCATTTGAATGGAAAAGCATTTGCTCCATGGAGACCTTTAAATACAGGTAGTGTTTGCCAGACAAGGCAAAACAAGTTCGGTATGGCTCAAGGTACGATCTCTTTCTCCTTCAAACTGAGCAAACTTCTTGTCTAAGTCTCCTCCTTTCTCTTTCCCTCTCCCCTCCCCCCCCCCCCCCCCCACCCATCTGACAAACTTTTCTAATACTGCAGGCGGTATTGCATGTAGGAAAGTACTTGAATGTAAGCCAAGGCCTCAATAGCGACTAGGTTTCCACTACAAAAAAATTTTGTGACTGTAGCTCTGCATTTTCGCATGATGGAAAACTAGTTGCTGGTTTTAATTGTTTTCAATATAATATCAATCTTGTTCTGATACTGTAATGATGGTCAATATTTATTTATTTATATAGTGCCTTTCATGTAAGGAGGGCATCTCAAGGTGCTTTACGCAGCTGGCAGAGCCCAGGACAGGGGTGGGAGAAGCTGAAGTAGATGGGAAGAGGTGGAGGGCAGACTTTGAAAGTCATGGAGGAGGGAGTGAGCTGGAAGGACTCTGGGATGGAGTTTTAGAGAGTGGGAAGAATGGCAGAAGACTTGCCCACCAACAGCGGCATAAGATAGAATGTGAGGACATGAATCTGAACTATTCCACCAAAATGTTAAGTCTAATATGCAATTATTATGATCAGAAATAGAATTTAACAAATGATCTAAATGTTAAAAGTGAATTCCTTGATTCAAAGGTGGGTAACTCCCCACTAATTAAGAAAATTACCGTAACAGCTACTCGTAGACCCCAAGTCTTCAGATAATGATATGGGGTAGAATGAAACTAATTCATGTTTAACTACATCAAGCACACCTATTTCTGAATGATGAGCTGATTTGCTGAGAAAGATATGGCTGACAAAACGCTGGTGTCGTCTGACACAGCAAGCTGCAAAGTGAGTTAGAATAGAAGAAAATTACATTTGTATAGCGCCTTTCACTTCAGGAGGATGTCCCAAGGCACTGTGATGTCGTACATTTGCTTCTGTACTTCCAGTTTCCAAGATCGCATCATTTCTGCACATGTAAAATTGTAGTTAGCCACTCTGCCATCACAATGGCATTACGGAGGGTGTTCCTACATTGGCAGGCTGTGAGTTTCAGGCAGTTTTGAAATCGACAGTGATGCCATTACTCTGAGCAAACTGAGCTGGTTCCTGGGTTAAATCCTCCCTACATCAGGCACTGGTGAGGACAGGTTTCAGCAAATGGGAATAATAGTTGTAAGCAAACAACGGTCCAGGTCATGGAACCTGCAACCTGCATGTGGGCACGCGGGGGAGGGGGGGGGTGGGGGTGGGTTGAACCTCGGCTGCGGTGGGACAGAATGAAGTTACGAGAGCTTGCGTTCGCCCTCCGGGACGCCACCCCGCGCGAACCGCGCTTATGTAAACGCAAGTCGTTGTTGACCCACAGCAACAAATTACCCGCCTTGGGACGTCCTCCTGACGTGAAAGGCGCTTTATAAATGGAATCTTGTTGTTGTTGTTGTTGTACGCTGTAGCCCCCAAAACCCCCCAAAACCCCAGCACGCAGTCAGTGCGCTTTACGGTACGGTATATGCCGCGAAGCGTTTTGAGAAGTGCTCCTGACGTGAAAGGTACCATAGCAAATGTACGGATTATTATTATGATGATGATGATGATGATGATGGGATGAAGTCACCGGCCGAGGCTGCTCGAGCCTCCTCTGCTCTGGCTCTGAAGTCGGTGCTGCGCGCGCAGCCGGCCGCGCGCAACACCTGCCGGGAACCGGAGTCGCGGGCGCCAGAACTACAACCCCCAGAGAGGAGCGGCCTGTGCAGCCTCCCCATGTTTCTGTGTAAGAATCGGTCCTTCGCTCTTCCAGCACCTTCTGCACTTGACTACCGTTCACCTTTCTCCCCCATCACCATCACCATACCCCCCTCCCCCCCCACTCCGCACGCACACGCTCTGTTCGACCACCTTCATAGACGAGACCAGTCCGGTCCGTTCGCTCGACCGTCCCCTCTCCCCGAGCGACCCGCTTCAGGTCCCTGCTGTGGGGTGTCTGAGGTGATGCCTGCGAAGGGCCCCGGCCGGCCAGGGGCTGGGAGTTAGGTGTCTCGGCAGGTGCCGGAGGCCAGGTCTGTGTTGGGGGAAGGGAGAGAAGCCGCAGTGTGAGGTGGTGTGTGTGTGTGTGTGTGTCTGTGGGGGGGGGGGAGGAGGGAGGGAGGGAGGGGGCGCGCGAACGGCGGTTAAACGGTTCGGCAGTTAACCGGTCCCTCCTCCTCCTCGAGCTCCATCATGACCAAATGAACACTCGGGGAATGAAATTTAAATTCCGGAAAGGAGAACGAGTCCTCTGCTTCGAGCCCGACCCCACAAAGGCCAAGGTTTTATACGATGCAAAGGTAGAGCGGCGGCGGCGGGAGAGCGAGCTGTCTGTCTGTCTGTGTCTGTCTGTGTCTGTCTGTGTGTGTGTGTGGCGGCGGCCATTCAGGACGAGGAGTTTGGGGTCGGCCACAGCCTAAAGTCTGAGGGTCCGGTTGAGCGAACCCCGTCCAGCACAGGGCAGGGGGTGCGCGGCCAGGCTCTTAATGTCGGGCGAGGGGAGGAGAAGGGGCTGAGGGGTGGGGGGGAAGGGGCTGGAGGGGGAGGAGAAGGGGCTGAGGGGTGGGGGGGAAGGGGCTGGAGGGGGAGGAGAAGGGGCTGAGGGGTGGGGGGGAAGGGGCTGGGGGGTGGGGGGGGGAAGGGGCTGGGGGGTGGGGGGAAGGGGCTGGAGGGTGGGGGGGAAGGGGCTGGAGGGGGAGGAGAAGGGGCTGGAGGGGGAGGAGAAGGGGCTGAGGGGTGGGGGAGAAGGGGCTGAGGGGTGGGGGGGAAGGGGCTGGGATGGGAGAAGGGGCTGGAGGGGGGAGGAGAAGGGGGTGGGGGGAAGGGGGTGGGGGGGGAGGGGGTGGGGGGAAGGGGGTGGGGGGGGGAGGGGCTGGAGGGGGAGGAGAAGGGGCTGGAGGGGGGGAGGAGAAGGCTGGAGGGGGAGGAGAAAGGGCTGGGGGGTGGGGGGAAGGGCTGGAGGGGGAGGAGAAGGGGCTGGAGGGGGGGAGGAGAAGGCTGGAGGGGGAGGAGAAGGGGCTGGGGGGGGACGGACGGAGGAGGAGGAGGAGAAGGGGCGGGGGGGTGGGAATGACGGAGGAGAAGGGGCGGGGGGGTGGGAATGACGGAGGAGAAGGGGTTGGGGGGGAATGACGGAGGAGAAGGGGCTGGGGGGGATGGATGGAGGAGAAGGGGCTGGGGGGGCTGGGGGGAAGGAGAATGGGCTGGGGGGGAAGGAGAAGGAGCTGGGGGGCGCGGAGAAGGAGAAGGTGCTGGGGAGGGGGGGGGCGGAGGAGGAGAAGGGCTGGGGAGGGGGGGGCGGAGGAGGAGAAGGGGCTGGGGGGATTATTAATAATAATCTTTGCATTTGATCTACCGCCTTATTATGTTGCTGTGACGTCTCAAAGCACTTCACAAATTAAAGAAAGGGCAGCATAACCAAAGTCCTCTACCGGCTCTGGGTTGAAGGCAGACACGGGTTCCCCGCCCGCCACTGCTGCTTGCCACAGTATATGTGTTAACACTGCAGCAAAACCTATGCTGACCCTGGCTTGTGTGTCCTCACTTTAGTTTTCTTTGAATTTGAGCTCTTGGTCTGACTTAGCATCAGCCAGTCAGTGAGTGTGTGGTTTGCAAACACAGCTTCTTAATATACACACACACACAGATAAATTTGGGATATCAAACGGAACATTGATAACCTTTCTTACCCCTTGTTGCAAGTTTTTCCCATTATGGGATAATTCCTTTCAGTTGGATGTTGAATTTGGTTAGGCTCTTGACCCTTAATAATGGATGACCGTTTACTTTCTTCAGCTGAATGTCAAATTTAAAAACCTGCACCGCCTTGCATCTAGCTCGGACTTCATCAATATTCACAATGGTTCACTGAGCTAGGGTACAACTTTGCAATTTGTTTGATCTTCAGCTCCTTTTCAAATGCTATAGCTGCTCGATGACCAAGGTAAACTTCATCCTCCTATGAAACATTGCTTGCCCTCCTTTCACTCCCAAAATAGCTGAAATCCGCATCCTCTCTGTCACCTCTAGACTTCTCAAATGCTCTCCATCAATTTCCTTGGATCTACTCTCTGTAAGGTTCAGTTAATACCATAAGTACACAGCTGAACTCCTCTTGCACGCAAGGCTCAGCATGCCCAATCTCCTAATGTCGCCAGCTCCCAGTAACCTAGTATTATCAACTTAAAAATCTTTATATTTACTTTCAAATCCCTCCGCAGCATAGCTCTGCAATCTCTTCCAGCTCTGCTCCCCTCGCCATTCGTTCCATTCTGCAAACTCTGGCATATGGCACACCCCTTGCCCCCTCTGCATTGTCATTGACAGCGAAGCTTTTGTCCACTTGTTCTCTGCTTACACCCAATTCCACTGCCCGCTGCCTTCGCTCAGCTGGCTCAGATATTCTGTACGTCCCTCGCCCCTCAGCTCCACAATTGGTGGCAGTGCCATCAGCCACTCTGCCCTTAATCTCTGGAACTCCCTCAGCTCAATTCCTCTGCCTTGCCTCCTCTTCAAGTCACACCTAAAAATTTGGTAGTGGTGCTCTAGCTGGTCATGTACTGTGCTGTATTATTTTTCTTTTCACCAGTCATAATTATCCTGGTACCCCAAACAAATCATAAGGTGAAGTTTCTGAGATTCATATCCTTTTGTTACAGCTGCATTCTAGCACAAAATGTTCAGAAAAAAATACTGAAAATACTGATTTTTACAAAAGCAAAAGTTAATCAAACATTTACATAACTCGATTATGTATGTAAATTATGCTTGCACTATTGCACTGTTTGATTTACCCAATCTTTTGGGTCTTTTTTTAAAACTGTCTCCCACAATTTGATCTTGATGTCTAGTGTATACACATCCAAATAATACATATGTTCGCAACACCAGTCCTGTGTTCAGGTGCGACCTGAAGATGGGGAAGGAAGTGGCAAGGCGGACGGATAGAGGAAGAGTGTTCCAGAGGTTCGGGGCGTAGTGACTGAAAGACCGGAGCCAGTCAAGCGTAGCCAGTGGGTTGGGAGGTAAGCAGGTTGGAGAGGTAGGGAGGTTGCCAGGGCATGAAGGGATTTGAAAACAAGTGTGAGAATCTTGAAATAGATCCATTCGGTGATAGGGAGCCAGTGAAAGGTGCTATATCAGATGCAAGAATTATTATTACCTCAGATTAAATAAATTTAATTTCATCACAGTTGGCCATAGTGCGATTGTTTTATTACAAAATGTTGAGTTATTAACCTTCCTAAAAGGCTTCAGTGAAATGATATCTGATATTTTGTTATTTGTGTCAGTGCCCCCCCAAAAATGTTCCAATTCACAAATTGACAAAAGCATTCGGATCACATGTACTTCTTACATGATTACAAACGGACTGCAGAGTGGCACATGATTCAAAGTGTTATTAGCAAAAAAGTATCTAGGCACGTAGTTGTTCGTATTTATTTTCTGAGGCGGGTTCACTGCATATCTAAAATTAGTTTGAATGTATACTTTCATCCTCTAACACTGTGCAATTTCTCATAATAGATTGTTGATGTAGAAGTTGGTAGAGATGATAAAGGCCGAAAGATTCCAGAATATCTGATTCATTTTAATGGTTGGAACAGAAGGTAAGACACATTTTTTTTGTCATGGGTTAGTAATTTACTGTCTGGATCCATAACCCATGCTAGTGAGTTCAGATGAAGCGTAAAGAGGAACATGACTAAAAGTGGATAGATACAAACATACTTAGCTTGGAGAATCAGCTAAGCAGTTGTTGGAGGAGAAACCACATTCAGAAAATAAAATTTTCATTTGGACATGGGCTTTGCTGGCGAATTCAGAAAAGTTGTTACTGCCATTAATTTAAACATATCTGACATTCTGCTGCATTACCCTTAACAATGTTAATTAGCAGTTTTTACTCTTCATTTTCCATTTCCAAATGTAACAATTAACTAGCCTAGAGTAGAATCTTAAGAATTCAGCAACTAATTGATACTTATTGCACACAAAAACTATGTTGAAGAACATACCAAACGGGGCAGTAACATGTATAATAAACAAACAATTGAATGAGATTGGAATGGGAGCAGAATGAAGGGCCAAAATTCAATTTTATGAAAATGATATAGAGACATTATTCTAGATAGTTCTAAGACACTAGCTTAGCTGGGTAGCTGTAGGATCCTAGGGTTGCCCACTTGCTTGAGCTGAGATTGCCAAATTGTATGAGGTCAGGATTCACAAAAAATATTTGAAGCCCGAGAGGTTAGTGGATGCAGAAATGAGATTGGAGTACAAAATTAGTCTATTTCAGATTTTTAAGTGTTTTTTACTTTGATTAAAATAAATAGAAACAGAGAAAGAGAAGAAATACTAAAAGGAGAAGGATTAAACACGATAGAGTGAGAAATCCAAGAAAACTGGGAGGGAGGGAGAAAACAGGAATTTGGGGAGGTGATCCAGATAGTCATTATAAAGCCAGGGATATTGAAATTGAATCAAGTCATTTTTTATGCTGGTTCTGGACAGTAATCGTTAAATTGTTAACCAATATGATCAATAGTGTACTCATCAATTTTCAACCAAAAGCAGCAAATTTCTTTTTCCTACTGGTAGAGTGCTGCTGATTGATCTCAACTCTTTTTGTAGATTGGGCAAGACAATAACGTGTACCATCTTGAAAACTCAGTTTAGTTGATTTACTCATTACCAGATTAAGGATTTCACCTGCCTCTCATCATTTGTGGTTCATCAACCCCTCAAGACTAGTATTGTGATAACCGGTTCTTTGGTGTGTTGAAGAGAAAAGCAATATATGCTGTTCCTGACAGAAAATCCCATCCACCTTCTCCTGAACATCTCCCTCTATAGTATTACATATACATTAAAGGGACTAGTATCCTTTTGTGCTGATGGTCAACACAGCTCCCTTTCTGGAGGAAGAAGGCATCTGCATTCTGTTCATAAAAGGGCCAGACATGAGAAAAGACAACTTGGCTTTTTATCAATATCATTCCAGTTCTTGGTCTGCATTCTGGATGTGTTTCAGATTTCTGTCTCCATCTCATTCTTGATCCAAGCCTGTGGTCCTACATTCCTTCAAAAAAAACACAACCCCATTCAGCTTCCTTTGAAATGATTCAGCAGTTTTCGCATTCACTTTGTTTGACAGTTTATTCTTCAACAAATGAAGAATTGTCATCTTAACTCTCATTTATAGTTCATAGCTTCTTAATCTTATTGTATCTCGTGGTTCTTTGTTTCTGGTTCGTCATGAAGAATTTTCAGCTTGATTCATGATTTTTCCCTTTCTACCTTCTAATGTGAATGAACAGCTCCTCGTGTGTATCCCCATACCTAAGCTATCTTGAACCATTTTGGTTGCTCTTGTACTCTTTCAAATTCCCTCTAGCAACAATTTATTCTGTTGAGGACTGGACATAAGGTAACATTTTAAAAAATTCTGTGCATCAAATATGGTGCCCTTTTGATCATCCAAAATAAGCAATAAACTATGGTGTATCCTCAAATACATTTATTTTTCAATTCGGAGCACTGTGCTCTGTTCTGTTATGAAAGCCTTCCAGTTATCAATGTGTGCACTTTGGAGATTTTGCATCTCATACTCGATTGTTCACTTTTGCTTCATAATTCAATAATTGATGACAGAAACGTAAATTACTCATTGCACCGTTTCTCTTTAATGCAGGCAAGAAATCTGCCACCAAAGAACACACTGCTTTTGACTCAGTTATTGTTTTAATATACAGATCATGAAAACACTTCATTCAAACTTGATTAAAAAGAACCTTGTTGGATGGTCTTAATACATGATGGAATGACATCCAGTCAGCCTTTTCAGTCAGCAATATCAGAGATATGCTGCTATTGCTTTAGCTCACTTTGTAATTTTTCCCCCATTTTTAATTTCGCAACTTCTGTTTTGCTTTGCTTAAAAGCTCCAACAGATCTGTATGGGGCAGAAACATTTGTTCAAAAGTAGTGGAAACTCTGAAATAATAATAATGCCTCTGTAACTGTATTGAGGAGTTGAGGATAATTGGAGTCAACTCACAGTCTCATCGTGCATGTTGATGAGCATATTGTCCATCATTTGATTTTCACATCCTCATAACTCTATGGATGACATATTTCATTTATTTTCTTTGACAGGTTACTTAATAAAAGATTACATTTTTCTTTAATTTTATAAAACAAGCTTTCTGAGTTATTTTTATTTGGTATTCTAGTGATTTTTTAAAACGGTTCCAATGAGTCACATTGTTCTCCCATTGTACAGCTATTGTTTCAATACAGTCTAGGGGAATTAGGCCTAAATGAATCAGGTTGTTGTGAAGTTCTGGTGCTTTGCAAACTAAGTTTGTTTTACGAGTCAGTTACAACATACCATATCAATATTTACTTGTGTTTCAGGGAAAATAAATGTAAATTGTATGTTTGGTATCATATTTGGCTAACATTTTCTGCAGTCTTGCATCTGGCATTATATTCTTAACTTCAAACTACTGTATGTAATCTACCTTGCATGCCATGAGGTTGATGGGCATCTTTTAGAAAAGTATGTACTTCAATTTTAAAGTTGTTTAGACACTTGTTTTATTCCATTTGGTTCCTTGATTCAAAGATCTTTCTTTGCTCCAACCTACTGTATTGTGGGTGAAGTGTTGAACCACATAATAAAGGATACTGTCCCTTTAAGTTCTGAATAGGATCCAAGTGATCTCTATGACTTTAAATGCTGAGCTGTAAATTACTCTGAATTTACATGAAGAGTTTACATGATTTAGACAAATTATTTTACACTGGTGTAGATCAGTATTGTTTCACACTTGAAGTCTAGGCTAGTGGATTTCAGCAGACGCTGCCTTGAGTTGTGAGGTAGGGATTTTGCTGTTGTGGTTTGTCTCTTTTGAGAGTACTGATGGAATGACAGACTTCAGATGATGTGACACTCACAAAATGGTTAGTAGTAAACTCGATATCTTTCTCAGCTGTTTCACGTAATTGCTGTTTTTAACCAAATTCACGTGGACTTCAGTTAGTATTATATTTCAGATAGAACTTATACATTGAATTTTCATACAGCCTGTGAAGCTGAAAAATCTGAAACTGCTTCACAGTAATTATTGTCATATGTAGTGACATGTTTGTAGGCAAAAAAGATGGAAATAGTTTTGCAGTTTGCACTGTCAAAGCTTATTTAATATTTGAATTCAGTGAGTTAAATCTAAGTTATCATTTTACCTGAATGCTTAAACTTTTAAACTTACGTCACATAGAAAATCTTGCTGTAGAATTACGTTTATTTTGGAGAGCATAAAAACAATCAGTATTTTTTGGTCCATAGAATAATGGTGCATTTGTAGTGAGTTTACATTGGTCAATTTCTTTTAATTGTATTCACCCTCGGCTTACTTTAACAATTTGGTTTATTTTACTTTACTTTGGTACACATTCAAAATTGATGTTTTGTCCTCTTAGTGATAAAAATAACACATTCAACAACATCGTGCAATTATATAGTAGTCTTCATCAGGGCCAATAGACAATTGAGGCAAGATGTGTCAAAAATTACGGGGAAATTTACCAAATTGTGCGGAAATTTTGCGGGGGTGCTTGATGCTGTTGAAATTTTACTGCCAGTCTTTATCTTTTCACTTCATTAATTAAAAACGAAACATGAAGAAATAACGCATATTAGGTAGTTGCAAAAAAAGTTATTAATACTTTCTTTTAACAAAAACTGTGTGGCCCACTCGGGAGGGGTGTGTGTGAGTGTGTGTGTGTGTGTGTGTGTGTAAACATTAGCGCAGGCCCAAAGGGCCGAATGGTCCATTTCCACCCCGCACTACATTTGCAGGCTTGGAGATCCGCCAAGCACCCAAGGTCACCACCACGTGCCTCTCAGGGCCACCACTGGACACTGAAACATAGACACACACACACTCAAAGGCACACACACACTCACAGAAAGAGAGAGAGAGACACACACTCACAAACACACACAGACAGAGAGAGAGACACACACACTCACAGACCCAGAGAGACACACACTAAGACACAGAGACACTCACAGACAGACACACACACACACACATATACACAGAGGAGAGAGAGAGACACACATAGATAATCTAAACAGAGGGACCTTGGGGTGAGTGAAGCCCGTTCCACGCGTGCGCGTCCGGAGTCGCTCTGCGTACAGTAGTAGTTTTGAGTAAACAGCCGGCAGCAGCACACAGAGGCCTAGGGCCGAGCACACTGTTTTTACAAGTTTGTAGCAGAGGGGGGTGTTTGTAGCAGATTCCGTGAAAAATTTGCGACCACATCCGTTAGAGTACTTATTTTTGTGAGATTGATATTTAGAAGTAAACAACCACTTGAAAGCTTCGGATTGGAATTGCATTTGTTTGAAGTGGACTGTTCAGCTTGTCAGAATGAGAGCTGTCTTGCCTGAGCTGCTGGATTATAATGCTTGTCAGCTTCAGAGGCTGGGTTGTCATTTGCTGCACGCAGTCTTAGTACAGTGATTTGTAAATGTACAATTTTTATTGTATTGCAAGAATTATTTCTCAATGAATTGTATATAGTGGTGTAGATTGTTTCCAGTAGATTGTTTCAGTCTTTTCTCATATACTTAACCCATTCACTGACACAAATAAAAGTATTGTAGACTTGTGCTTTTGAAGGGGTTAATTACCTTTATTTTAGTTTGTAACTTTGTTTTTTTAGTTTATGTTTTCTTTCTTTTTGTTGGCTTTTATTTTTACCTGTCTTTATCCTCCTGTCTCTAGCTGGGATAGATGGGCAGCAGAAGATCATGTACTTCGTGACACGGATGAAAATCGCAGATTACAGCGTAAATTGGCCAAGAAAGCTGTGGCTCGCATGTAAGAATAATTTACATGACGTAAACATCATTACATACCCCAGACACAGTCTTTGCAAAACTATATATTGAGCTGGCACTTGGTCAGTTAAGTGCATAAATCTTTCATCTGAAGAGAAATAACATCCAGAAGTTCAACCTCAAGGATTGAACCACTGACATTTGTGAAAAACAAATGTGCTTCTGTCACATGCTTTTTTCTTAATGTATGCTGCCAAAATACAGATAAAGAATAGTGGACTGGGTCCCCTATAAGTGCAAACTAAGAGGTGAGTAAATCTGCTCTTGTGGTATCTTCAATCAAAGTGTTGGAGTCCTCCAAAGGAATAAATGTAAGTTGGCACAATGATGATTGACAGCTTTCTACAAAGAGTACAATGATCGCAATGATCTACCATATATTTGGTCCCAAATGGTAAAGTTGTACAGAACTTACAATCTGTACAAAGCTAGGCCGTAGCATCATTGATTCCTGTGTACGCATACAAGGGTCCATTCTTCAAAGCACCTGAGAGATGTCTATCATCCATTCTGCAAAAGGTTACCAAACAGTGGACCGCTTGCAGCTCATTCCGACACATTGTTCATGACCATATCCCAGCAAAATACTTACAAATATTCACTAACCAATTTCATTTATACAACATTTAGCCTGTTGGTGTATTTCAATCCCCATGTTACTTGATAGATAGGAATGCAATACGGTTGCGCGATAAATGTTGTTTAATGAGTAAATGTATTATTCCTATATGTTCATGCACTGGGTTTTCATGTACAAATGTCTGTCTTTTGAAACAACTTTTTTCCATAATCTGATTGCTGTTGTGGATTTTTAAAAATTGGAATAATGTGAGAACAATTGGGATAGCGTGGAGTCCTGCAGCTCAGTCGTTAGAGCACTTGCCTCGCAAGCAGGAGACCTGAATTCAATTCCTGGCAGGGCAAAACATTGGGCAAGTTTCTTTATTCCACACACCTTTGTTTACCCAGCTTAAAGTAGGAATTTGATTGTTAGTCGATTGGCGGATCGCTTTTCCGGGGGTAATAATCCCTTTTTAAAAAAAACTGGTCATTCAATCCACGACTGTTTGTGGGACACTGCTTTGCGCAATTGGCCCTGCGTTTCGCCCACAAAATATACAGCCAATTCACTTTGCAGTATATTCTGTGTAGCGCTTTGGGATGTCTCGCAGATGTGATAAGGCACTATATCAAATGCAAGGATTATTATTAACAAGCAGGTGTGTTGTATATATTCTGACTCTTACCCTGGTAAAATAACATCTGATGGCACTGAAGGATTAACCCTGACTTTTATGTGACTAGGAAAAACAAGGGGAAGAAGAAGCGTCGTTGCCGGCTACCTGGTGTTGACTCGGTGCTAAAAAGTCTTCCAGTGGATGAAAAGGAGGAGAATGATGAAAACTGTGAGTTCCTCTGTGTGCTTAAAAGGTGTTTCTTCTGCTGTGGTTGAATATACAGGTCAGGCCAGAGCCAAGATACCTGTATGAAGAATAATTTGAACTTGTAAAGTATATTTAAAGTACTGCGGTTTTCATTCTTACCTTTCCCGCTGTCTCCACCTTGTATTCACTAACAGCTTCTCCTCCAGCCCTCACACCCGTCACATGCGCCTTCCTCAGGGCTCTCTCTGTATTTTATAGGCGAAACGCAGCATCCAGTTGCGCACAGCAATGTCCCACAGACAGCCATAGAGTCAGTGACCAATTTTATTTCGGGTTTGTTGGCCAGGAAACGGAGAGAGAAATTCCCTTTTTTCGAATGGTGCCCAAGTGGTCTTGTAACATCCACTTGAACAGGCACATGGGACCTGAGTTTAACATCTCATCTGAAGGACGCAAGCTCCGACAATGCAACACCCACCCCCCAGCACTGCATTGGAGTCTCACCTTAGACCTTGGAATTCTACGTCCCAATCTGGGGCTTGAACACACAACCTTCTAACTCAGAGGCGAGAGTGCTATCACTGTGCCAGGCTGACACACTAGCCAACTGATTTATTAACTGTTGTACAGTATTTACAAATTTACCATCTAATAAATCCTTAGACTCGGGTATTCAGTGGGTGATTCCTCTCATGGACTATTGGTATTTTCGTTTAAGGTTTAGAAACTAGATCAACGAAACAATCTTACATGGTCTCATTTGTACACAAAATCAATTTGAGGGAATGTCAAACTAGTGTAGTAAGTTTTCTGGAGGGTTTCAAATGTGAAGCTATCTGTTCAGTGCAAACTTAGGTTTCCTGTAAAAAAGCAAAAATTGCTTCAGTAAAGGACTTCACATATAGTATCCAAACAGAATTTGTTTTAATGCAGTGTTATTAGAACCAGGGTATCCTTTGGTGAAAGTGGTTACTGGCACTTAAAATGTAAAAGGGAAGTGGATAATCATTTTTAAAAAACTTGTATTTTGATCTCGTTGAAATGTTTTAAAGAGCTTCACAAATATAATTATTTTTATAGGAAAATGTGGCAGTCATTTTCACTTGAAAGGTTCCACAAACAAACAGGAATTTCTCTTCTGGAAGACACCGGAAGAAGCCTCTTTTTCTTGAATGGTGTCATGAGATCTTTAATAACTACATGAACAGGCAGATAATTCCTCAGTCTTATGTCTTAGTTGAAAGATGGCCCATCTGCCCATGTAATACTACCACCCTAGTTCTACATTGGTGTGTTACAATTACTGAAAGGTTATTGAAAAGAACAGAATTTGGATTTCAGTATATAGCTCCAGTGGGGGAACAAGCATTGACGGAACAGTTCTTCATCTATGGTTTACTTTATCTGTTGTTGGTGTTCAAAGTGTCTTATCCAAATTTAAACCTCTGCCTAACACCCCATCCTCCATTGAAATTGATTAGTTACCCATCTGTTTTTTGCTGGTATAGACTCGCTGCCACATTTGCCTACACTGTATAACATTCACTTTCCTTTCTATCAAGCACTTTGAGATGTTTATTTTTATATTGAAAGGTGCTATATAAATGTAAGTTATTCCTACTTGTCTACAAAATAGTCACTACACTTTACAGTACAATTCTGCAAAGTGCTTTGAAATGTCCTCCCAACATAATAAACCAAATCGCTTATAATATTACTTTTATAAAGTGTCTACTTTTTAAATTGTAGCAGAATTGACAGTTATCTGTACAGTTATCTATGTTGTCATTGCTGGACTACTTAAATGCCCTGCTCATCAAACGCCCCAGCTCTTCCCTACATAAGCTGCAGACCATCCAGCAATGTGCAGCCCATGTCCTCTTCCCCCATGAGGCCATTATCACCATCCATGCTCAACTCCACTGACTTCCCCAACTCCCAAAAGATCAAATTAAAGTCCTCAACCATGCTTTTAAATACAACCCATTGCCTTGCCCCTCTCTACATCTGTGATCCTACTGCCCAGTTTCTCTTTCCACTCAGCAAATGTCATCTGCCTCATGTGTCCAAGATTACCATCTTTCAGTTGAGTTTCAGCTATTTTGCTCCTGCCTTCTGGAAATCCACCCTGGAGTCCCCCTGCCTTATCCCCAGTTTCTGCGCCTTTAGACCCATTTTGTCAACTGTATTTTCACCCACTTTATTACCCCACCCACAGTTCTGGCTCCCAGTTAGCTGTGTGAAGCATATGAGACTTGAAAGGTGCTATATAATGTAAATCGTTTTTAGTCTTGCTTTCATAAAAAAAGTTGCATTAAATACTTTTCACTTTGAATATTGTTAGGTTGTTGCAAGGAACAATATCTGAGCTAACGGTTTGTCCTGGACCCTTTTATTTATTTTGAGTCATACAATTCTGTTACACATTTTCAGTTAAAAGTAATTCATTGCTGTGCATGGGTGGGATACAGTGTAAGACGCATTTCTTGTGTCGTATAACCAATGAATTCACTCCATATAGGTATGCCTGCAAAACCGTTAATCGTTTGTCAGAAGTGTGGGAGGAGGAATGCTGTTGAGTGGAGATACAGGCATTAACATGATTTAAAAGAGGGTCTTCATGAAGGACATAAAATGTATGAAGAGCATTCAATATTTTTCGTGTTTTTGAAGAGATTCCATTTTTGATAACATTGAGCGTCTCCCAAAGTTTTGAGATTTTGATCATTAATTTCTCTGAAATGTCTTGAAGTTTTATCACAGTTTTGATATTGAGCATTTCTATACAACTACCTTCTAGCTACTTAACGCATTTTTTTTCACAAACCATATCTGCAGAGGATTAACTGCCACAGTAGACCAATCCTGACCAATTTCACACCTTCTATTAATCCTCTTGCAAAGCAATAAATATGATGATTTGAAGTAGTCTTGAAAATGTTCATACAGAATTTCTGCCTCAACAATGCTGTGCGGCAGATAATTCCACATTCCAACCACCCTCCGTGCGAAACTAGTTTTTTTTTCTAATCTCCCCTTTAATTCTTTCCCTCACATTTCTAGTGGTACACAATGTTCCAACTTTGACTTAACTGAGTCCTGTTCAAGTTCAATATTACCTTTTGTATTTTATGCAACCAGATACCAACAAAGGCCTTTGTTTAGCCTTATCTACATTGTTAATCATCATCAATGACCTGTGTATCTGCAAATTAAGTTCCCTCTGCACCTCTCCATTTGCAATCTTACAACTTAATTTATTTCTTTCACTATTTATACTGCCATAATGTACAACTTCCCAATTTTAACATTGAACTGAATTTGTCAGTGATCTATCTATCCCACTAGCCTAACTTGATCTTAAGAGTTTTTCAGTCTTTGCAATGCAATGTCATTAGCAAATTTCAATATTATTCCATTAATTCCTAAATCCAGATAATTAATATACACAGTAAATAGGAATATCCCCAACACTGACCCGTGGGAATCACCACTCACTATGTCTTTTCATCGGATGTAAGCCAATGGATATTAGTAACAGCAATAATCCTTACATTTGATATACCGCCATTGTTATCCAAACATCTCAAAGCACTTCATAGTTAATTGTTGGCAAGTGTAGTGACTATTTTAATTTAACTACCATTTCTCTTTCATTCATAATCTCCATCAACTGTTCTACTCCCACCTATGGCAATTCTACATTTTTGATTCCATCATATCCATTGAAACTGAGGCTAGGTCCCTTTTTTTTAGTATCTGCTGAACCATCACTATCCACCACAAGCTTGTTTCCTTTGTCTTATAACAGCTTTATTTCTACATTGACTAATTGACTATTCTTTTACTACTAATGTGCCTTAGAAAGCCTTATTGTCTTTTTGCTAGTTATTGATCATTATTGAAAGTCTCTCCCTGCAACTTAGTTTGAGTTCACTTCACTTCCCTGTGTCCACTAACAGCATTTCAGCATCTGTGTAAGGAATTTTCTCTCTTCCTTTGTAGCTTTAAGTGCTTCTTCTGAAGATGATGATGATGACGATGATGAAGATTGCGACAATGATGATGATGGCACAGATGAAGAATTACTAAAGAGTGACGATGACAGTGAGCCAGATGAGAAAGTAGAAATGGTAACTGTTCTGAGATTAAAAAATCATATTTGAAAGTGTCATCTTTATCCTCAAATTACATTGATCTGTGAGGCGGTGGATGATTCCAATGGATGACAGTAGTTTCCTGCCACCATCCACTGTAATAATTCACAAAACTCCTGAGTAAATTGTTGTTTTGAAAGGTATGCATATTTTGTTGCTGATTTAAAGTTTAAGGTGACATCCATCTTAAACATTCATGCTTCATTAATTTAGTGCATGCTGTGAAAGTTATAAACTAATATACTGTAGTATTTTTCATGTGCATCGTGATTAATCTGGGAATCCAATAGGATTAGGCGATTATAGACTACCCTGTTTGTGGATTGCTTTCATATGATGGTACTTGGAAACTGAGTCGGAAAACCTGATGGAAAATTGAATTTTTAAAAATAGTTTAACAGCTGCAGTTAAAATTGAAAAGTACTACTTCATCAATGTCAACCTAGAAAATGCATAATACTGGAAATTGCAGAGATTTGAAAACTTACCTATTACAAAGCAAATTAAGTATTACTCAAAGACTGTTTATTTGGGGGATAAGGGTTGTGGTCAATGTATAAACTATTCCAGGCTTCCCTTTCATGGTGCATTATATCATCCAAGACAGATTGATTACAGTAGTTTTCCCTTCCAGTTCGACATAAATAATCTAAAATATCGAAAGTTCTGTCTAATGCTATGTGATATGGTTCCAAATCACATTAAAATGACTCAAAATGCTTTGCACAACTAGTCACTTTGAATCATTTAGTGACTTGTTATGAAGCCGAACATGACTGCTAATCTGCACTATCATTCGTTAACCATTAATTAATCTTCATTAATTCTTAGCAAATTTGGAAGGAGGAGGATTATTGGCTTAGAAATTCAAGCAAGTTCCATATTTTTTAAATACTGCTGTGGGATCGTTAACATTCACCACCGCCTGAGCAGCAGAGTAGGCAGATAAGATGTTGGAAGGTAGCATTCCTGGGAATTTAGCTTTCAGTGAATCATGTACTGGAGTATGACCTAGATTATGAGCCCATGTCCTGATGTGGATTACAATCTGAAATACAGCGATTTTTTTTAAAAAAAAAACCTTTAGACTATAAGACAAAAGGACGGATGGATACTATTCAAGAATTTCAATATCATCTTCTATTATTTTTCTGGAGGATTTTAATTTTTTTAATTACATTTTCTTAATATTTTAGAAGGAAGATCAGGAGACTTGTCCTAAAAAGGAAATGGAAGAAAAAACAATAAATATAGAAATTCCAGAAATTCTGAAGAAGAAATTAGAGGATGACTGCTATTATATCAACAAAAGGAAAAAGGTATCCTCTTTAATCTGTAAATTACTTAGGTTAAAAATCTTAGTTTAGAGCTGTTAGAATTATTACTTAGGTTAAAAATTTTAGTTTAGAGCTGTAGATTCAAGTTTCAGGACATGCTGCCTGGCTGTTATAATTCAAATATAATTTTTTTAAAAAAGCTTACAGTTTAATAATAATAATCCTTGCATTATCACGTCATTGAGATGTCTCAACGTACTTCACAGAATCTATTGTAAAGTGGATTGTGGGCGAAGTGCGACAGCCAATTGCACGCAGCAGTGTCGACCAAATATTATTACTATATTGTTTGGGGCGTGAGGGGGGGAGTAGATTATAACCCCTGGAAAGTGATCCACCAATCAACTAACAACGACAATGTACATTAAATTAAAAATGTATACTTTATTCAACAGTTGGTGAAGCTGCCGTGCCAGACAAACATAATAAATATTTTGGAATCCTATGTGAAACATTTTGCAATTAACGCGGCCTTTTCAGCCAACGAAAGGTCTCGACACCATCAAACAAACTCACAGATCCCGATGAATCCTCATTACATCCCACCTGAGAAAAAGTAAGTACAGTATTTACGGATAGATAGGGCAACTGTAATGTTCTCAAAATGTGAAAATATTAACTTTTATGTAACTTTTTTAAAATTTTTCTTTGCAGTGTTGAACTGTGTAAAGAAATGGTGGATGGTTTAAGAATAACATTTGATTTTACACTTCCTATGATTTTACTGTACCAGTATGAGCATGCTCAGTTCAAGAAGGTGACTTCATCTAAATTCTTTGTTCCAATCAAAGACAATCTATCAAATAACAGGTAAGGCTTCTCTTATTAAATTAGTGTTTGCCAAAGGTTGTGATATTTATGCAAATGGGAAGGCATTCTACTGTATTCTTTCAATTTATGTGTTTATGTGTAGATGAAAGTGTTTTGTGTATAGTTGGTGTGTTAATTGAATTATCCGTTTTAACTAGAGTTATATACAAGCCCCCACACACGCACACTGTCTCTGACTCTCTTTTGCCTTTAACTGTCTTTTTGCTTGCAAGTGTGTGTCTTGTCTGTGTACTGACGGAGTGTGGGGGGAGATCTTGCTACCTCATGCTGTTAGGATATATTTGTGCGCATTGTTACAATGCATGTGTATGTAACTGAAAACATTTGCTGACATCATAGCCTGACTACTTCACATCTTGAGTCCTGATCCAAATAAGTGGAGCTCTACTGTACATAGTTATCAGTCATAAACTCTTCTGCCATAACAATAGTTAATATTTTTATGATTGCATTCTAAGATCAGCTTCTGTGATATTTAAAGAATGACCTTACTTATCTACTTCAGTTGCACCAGGCAGGAACAAAGTCAGCATTATTTAAATAAATTGCAGATGTTTTTTCTCTGTTTATAAATCATAATATTGTATGTCAGCATCTCTGAACTGATCGTGATTAATGTACCCATGTATTGACCAGTATAAATTTCATTGAGCTCTTAAAAAAAAGCTGACTTGTAACATTTTATGATTGGATTTTTCATTTATTTTTCATCTAATCTCTAACAACTTTTATTTATAAAGAATGTGTGTCTGATTTATTTAGAAGCTTAATACACCAATTCCATTGATATGCATGATTGAACAGTGAAATATCTAATAGCCTTTGACAGAAATAAGTGTACTGAATAGATGGAGCTTTGATAAGCGGTCTGTCCACTTGAATAGTATTGTGCTGGAGTATTTTCCAAAACGGATAGAAAATAATTAATATTTTGTTTACCGTTTTTGCCATCTTAGCGAGTGGGACAGTTGTGTGCATGCACAATAAATGGGGCCCATAATTCAATTGTCGTGTAGAGTGTTCATGCTATAAAGAAGTGCATTATAACTATACTAGAATACTTTTCAAAATAGATGAGTCAGTGGGTTAATACCGTTGAAATCCCTGGAATGTGGTGATCGTTTGAGACGAAATAGTCTGCCTTAAATTTAAACTAGAATTAAGAAAACACCCAAATTATCTTACTGGGCATGTCAAGAATATCTCAACTGAATACATAAGGTTTCTTGCACCATAGATAAGATGTTCCATTAGACAGTTTTGTATATCTGATCAGCAGCCTGCCAACTAAGACATTCTACAACAATCTTTCAATGCTGAAGAATTTGTTGTGCATGGGGGAAACAAATGTTTCTTTAATTGGCAAACTTCCCTGTTGCTTTGACTTGTAAAGGATAATTGTTGAATTTGGTCATATTTTGTTTTTTGTACAATGGGAGCAGAAATTCTTCCCACTTAGCTTCTGCTAACCCTGCAAACTGAAAACCAAATGAGTTGAGTGGTCTGAGCTTGATGGGCAGTGTGAAACTTGCCAGATAGTGCTCTCAACAGTAAGCTATGTGATATCAGCTAATTAAACTCCAGTTGTACCTCAGCACCCTCAGGTATCCCCAAACCGTTGTTCTTGCTGACCTGTTTTGAATTCTGCTCAGAATTAGGTAACACCAACTTGCATTTATATAGCGCTCTTCACGCGGGGCAGCATCCTGGAACCCTTTAACAAGGGAGAACATGCGCATTTCCATTCCAGACACGGAAATATCCATATTTAGGTTGCATACTTAAGTGGAACTCTGTCTGGTTTGGATGTTCTTAAGTATGCTGATGGGTCTCCACGTATGTTAGGTACCACGCTGATGAAACAATACAATATATATTTAAAAAATATACTTGAAACAAAACAATTACAGTTTGAGGTGGCCTTTTTCTACTCTATTTTGTTTATTACATTGTCTTGTGCCTATTCACAGAGCTCAAAAGGAACATTCACCAAGTCCTCCTCCTCTCTTGAACCCCTCAACACCCCAATCCACAGACAGTCAACCCTTATCAGGTGACCCTGCAACACCAAAGCGTCGAAAAGTTGATCCCGAATCTATTCAATCACTGAGGCGTTCCACACGACATGCATCTGGTTGTGACCGCCTATCTGAAAGCAGTGCTTCCCCACAGTCAAAACGCAGATTGTATGATTCTACCACCCAAATGCCCAGATTACTTTTACATTTAGAGAAAAGTAAGTTTTTTTTTCATACATTTTTTCCTTATATATTGAATTCAGTAAGCAAATTGGTGATCAGCTTAGTTGGAAACCAGTAGTTGCTACTTTTGCTCAAATATATTCTGACTGCCTTAGATTGAAGCTTTCTTCCTGTTGTCCAATTACTTTGCATCTTGGAAACAAGCATTCTAAATCATTTTTCAAAAATGGGTCTCAAATGGACAATGGCATCTGGGGAAGAGGAAAGCAATGTTTCAAAGTTTAGTCTGATTGAATTATAACACAGTCTGTTTATAATTTGGGTAGGTAGCATGCTACAACAGAAGCGTATTCCGGCTTCCGGTGCTAATAATTTTCCGCTTGTTGTGCATGCACATCACACATGAATTTACATCATCAACACTTCCCGTGTATATATTGCACACACATAGGAAGTGATGTTAGTGGTGTGTTATGCCAGTGCTAGAAAGTGTCTTCATTGGTGCTTCCTGGACATTGCATATATTCAGTACTCAGCAGCTTACATTGGAGTGCTTCCTGTGCATTGAGTAATCGTGCAGCACATATCAGCACTTCCTGTGCTGTGATGTAATTGACCCTTATCTGTTATAGTCTAATGGCCTGATTTTATGGACACAAACCACGGTGTTCCAATGGGTACAAACTGAAAGTGATGGGCTCAGGAAGGCAAGAATTTCCCTGTCAGCACTTTACTTTCATGGTTATTGATGGCTTAGTAAGATGCAGTTTGTTGCATTTCGTTGTATATTTTTATTTTATAGAAACTCCTGTCCATAGTGGCTCATCGTCTCCTGTCACCCTTACACCCAGTAAAGAAGGTGTAACAGTGCTTGATGGAAGAAGGAATAACGAATTGAATGAGGTAGGAGCTAAAATCCTCTATAAACATTTTGCACAGATTATAATAAAATATTTATAATATTTAACACTTTGAAATTGTTGCAAATAATATTTGTTTGGAACAATTTCACATTTGGCATGTGTTTCAACTAGATCAGAATTTTACAACCAAAAAAATGGAATGTATCATTTGGAAAATCGGTTCTTGCAAAGCAAACAATCCCATAACAATAGTGTAATATGCATTTGAATCAGCACCTTTGATGTCAGGATGATGTGCCAAAGCGTTTTTGTCGTGTGGTAATTGTATTCTGTAGGTGAAGTTTTTTACAAAATATATGCTCTCAGATATATTCAGATCAATGCTCATTGATGTGTCTCAGGAATTGGTGTTGAGACCTCTCTTATTCTATATTTATATTAATATGGGTGTAGGAGTAGGGGAAATAATATCCAAATTTGTAGATGATGTCAAATTAGGAGGTGTTGATAATAATACCAAAGAAAGTGGGAGGCTTCAGGCAGATATTAGCAGAGTGGGTGAACTTGTGAAAAATGAAATTCAGTACATTTTGGAAAGAACAGAAGTTGGAAATCTTTCCAAAACTGTGAAAAATTTCAATGGAGAAACAAAAGGGTGAATATCCATAGATCATTAAGAGTAGATATAGATAAACCTTGCCTCTGAGTCAGAAGATTGGGTTCCAGCCCCTCGTCGGGACTTTGAACTCTCACTCTAGGCTGGCACTCCAATCATTGTTGTGGAAGGACTATATTGTCAGAGGTGCTGTCCTTTGGAAGAGAGATGTTAAATCGACTTTCCCTCTGCCTGTTCAGGTGGTGTTAAAGATCCCATGTCAATAATTGAACAGAAAAGTGAGTTTCTTCCAGTATTCTGGCTTAAAAAAAGTTAGTCATTCACTTCATGGCTGCTTTGTGGGATATTGCTATGAGCAAATTGTCTGCCATTTTTGCTTACAAATACATTGTCACGACACGTCACAGTCAATCTTATTGAGTACTTTAATTGTTTGAATCCTGCAAGCAGAAGGCAGGGAATAAGCTATCTTCTGCTCATGGGATTCAGACAATCCCAAGTCAAAGTCGATAAGCCTGGCTGCAAGGACAATGAGGCTGCTCAGCGCAGGACTGGGCTCGTGTTGGGAGTTGGGCTGGCAGGAGTTTACATGTAGAAATATTTTTTTTAAAACATTTTTTTGGGGGAGCATTTTGGGCCTGAAGTCTGTTTTATTCAAAATTGAATTTGCTGTGGCTGATCTTTTATTAGGTTTTGTCTTGGAAAATGATGCCGAATAACTATCCATTGACTGAACAACCTCCTGCACCTTCATATATCTATGGAGCTCAACACCTTTTGCGGCTATTTGGTAGGCTTTTTTCAGATGTTCTCTGCTTATTGGAAGAAAAATATTAGTGATTAAACTAAAAGTTTGAGAAGAAATTGTATCATATGTAATATAAAACATAGATTAAATGCTAAAAAAATACCCACAGTGAAGTATTACAATTCTTAATTAAGTTTTTATACTGCAGACATGATGACACACCACTGAAGCGTTACATTGTAAAAAAAATTGTTTTTAACTGGGTATGGTGTACACTAAATCCATTCTAACACAGTAGTTGAAGTCCATAAAAAAACCTGATTTATAATGAAGTGTGATTGTCAGTTCGCAATTCTGCATGTGGTCAATTACATGAGCAAGATTGTGATCAATAGGGTAAAACTGTTTCCTATTCATTGGTGAACAATCTGATGCTTGGTGAGTTTGCTTCACACTGAAAGGAAGAACTGGAATTGAAGGATCAATGCGTGACATAAGTAGCTACCAACACTGCATGTCCGCAGAAAGCTGGCTTCCCATGCTAAAAAATGGTCATCAGGGCATCATATCCTTTGCTCTTGCCAACCTGTGCTTAATACTTTCTGGAATTAAGTAAGCAGGATGCGTCCCTCCAGGGAGAGAGTGCGCACTCTATTCCAGACACAAGGAAATTTCCATGCTTATGGGGAACTCAGTCTGGATTGGATTCTCTTTAGCATGGAAGACATTTGGATCCTGGCTGACCAAAAAAAGGTCAATGCAGATGTCACTTCTTGCATGTTGCACATGTGTATAGAAAACTGCCTGCCTCCAAAAGTAAACATAATCTATCTGTGCTTGTAAGTTAGGTTGTGCATTGTACATCATTGTGCATGCAGGAAGTCACAAAGGCAGCAAACTGGTGACCCATTTTTTAGCATGCAGGAAACTGACCCCTGGTCACCCATACTGGGGTCCTGTAGCTCTGTACAATTTGTACAAAGCTAGGCCGTAGCATCATTGATTCCTGTGTACACATACAAGGGTCCATTCTTCAAAGCACCTGAAAAATGTCTATCATCCATTCAGTAAAAGGTTACCGAACACTGGACCGCTTGCAGCTCATTCCGACACATTGCTCATGACCATATCCCAGCAAAATACTTACAAATATTCACTGACCAATTTCATTTATATGACATTTAGCCTGCATAGATTGTACAGAACAGAAACAGTTCATTCGGCCCGACGAGTCCATGCCTGAGTCTCCACACGCTCCTCTTATACCCTTATATTCCGTCCTTCTTCATGTGTGTATCTAGCTCTTCTTAAAATATAGTTGGCCTTTAGGATAGTCACCTACTGATGTGTCTTGTAATTTGTTTTGCATAGAGACATAGGTGTTTTACAATTTGCTTAAAGTAATCCAAAGCTTTAGATGTGTGTGTGTGTGTTTTTTGTTACTGATCTTTACCTTTAGGTATAATGCAAAATCTAGCTATACGGGTGCTCAGTGGACAGGTTCCTGCACACTAAAAAATGGTCACCAGTTTGCTGCAAAATGCAGAATCATTGCTCAAATCAAATGTTCAGTCATTTCTAGGGTACCACTCCTGTCCAGTGAGTTGCTAAAAGGAAGATCTCTGAGACATTTCACAGAAATAGAGGGGGGAAAAGAGAAATTAAGTCAGAGTAAGATAAAGAAGCAGATGCAAGTACAACAGTAAATGAGATCTGAATTATCGGACTGTTCTTGTAACTTCTTCAGAAATTGGAATGTTGTACCAGCTTTAAAGTTCAGTAGGTGGCAGTCTTTCTTGCATTTTAAAATATGACTTCAATGCAGCCAACTTGAAAGAAAACTGATGATGTGTTTGGAGAAGCCACCAACAACAACTTGCATTTATATAGCGCATCCTCACACAAGGTAGCATCCCAGAGCACTTGATGGTGGCGGAGCACAACACCGAGCCGGGGGGAGGGGTGGGGGTGTCCACAGGCAAGGTCGAAGAGGAAGGTCTACAGGCGCGACCTGAAGATGGTGAAGAAAACGCAAGACGAAGGGTTAGAGGAAGAGTGTTCCAGAGTTTCGTGGCATAGTAGCTGAAAGCACGGCCACCAATGATGGAATGGAGGGCACGAGGGGTATGCAGAAGGCCGGAGCCAGTCAAGCGGAGGCAGCGGGTAGTGGATTGGGGGCTAAGCATGTCGTAGAGGTAGGGAGTTTCCAGGGCATGAAGGATTTGAAAAAGAGTGTGAGGATCCTGAAATAGATAATAGATCTGAATGGTGATGAGGATCCAGTGACGCCTGGCTAGAACTAGTGTGCTGGGAGTACGGAATTTAATGCGGGTGAGTATGTGGGCGTTGGAGTTTGGGATTAGCTGGATCTTGTTCATGGTGGAGTTGGGGAGACCGGCGAAGAGGGCATTTGAAAAGTCGAGTTGAGAGGTGACAAACAGTTCGATGAGTGTTTCAGCTGCGTCTGGTGTAAGGTATAGTTGGAGGCAGGCAACATGGCAGAGGTGGAGGAAGGCGGTCCAGGTCAGGGACCGAATTTGGGAAAGGAAGGAAAGCTGCGGGTCGAACCTGACTCCTAGGTTGCGCACCAGTTTGGTGAGTCTGAAGAATAGACCAGAGAAGTTGAGCAGGTCAGAGCTGCAGGATAGAAGACGTTGATGGGAGCCAAGGAGTATGCCTTCTGTCTTGTCAACATTTAGTTGTAAGAAGTTGGTGCTCATTCAGGCCCTGATGTCTGCCAGCCAAGCCAATAGAACATCAGTGGATCTGAAATCTCAGGTTTACAGTGGAGCTTTTTTATAAGATCGTAGTTCTGGTCCATAAAATGCCAACCCACCTTATAACAAGGTCATAGTTTTTTTTATTTGATGGTCTCAAGCGAATGCTCACACTTCTAAAGACACCTGTTAAAGAGTTTTCCATGTATTAAAGGTTTTTAGCTGAAATATTCTTTGCTATTCTTATTTCTTATAGTGAAGCTACCAGAGCTATTGGGAAAGATGCAGATTACTGACAGAAATCTAAAGGTCTTGGTGAAGCACCTAGAGCTATTTCTTAGGTAAGAATTTAGAACACACAGGATTTGTTTTTGCTTTTTTTCTGATCATTATTGTTATTCTAAAAACATACTTTTGAATTACAATCATAACATAGACTGAGGAGCTGCCTGCTATCCTCTGAATATGGTATAAAACGTTTGTTATTTAGCCCACAAGTATAAAGTTATTCAGATTTAATGACTGTTAAGCTATCCTCTTGCCCAGATAAAATCAGGACATTGTTTCAATCCAGTACCACAAGACATTCAGTTCTGGATGTGACCATGGCTCCTCTGTAATTGGCATTAATCCTGAAGTTAATTCAAAAATCTCATGCATGATGTAGAGTTGGGTTGCTAAATTTAAATACATTGACTGCTCTACCTTAGATTGGGTCTGGTACAATTAGTTTGAACATGAACTGTAATATGCGTATAGTTTCATTTCCGACAAACTTTCAACCATAAAGAGTTAGTTTGTGTGTGTTTCCATCAAACTAAATTGTTCATGTGAAAAAAACTACTCATGTTTTTAAATAAAAATGTGTGGTAAAAGGCTTGGCCATCAGTGAGTATGGAAATTGCTAGATAATTGTTTGCCTACAGTACTTCCTTTTATTCACCAAATTCCCTCAGGAATACATTTAAATTCTATAATAATGTGTAGTTGTGATTAAGCTAAGAGTATGTAATACTTTTCTCTTGTTGCAATTTTAAGTTCTTAAAAGTAAGTAGTATGTAAGTAGTTAGAAATGTACTAAAATGTCCAATCCTCCATTCCCTCTAGCTTGTTTAAAAAATATAAATTCATTGAAGCACTGGTACATGGAGCAGAGTAATACACCTTGATGTCCCTTAGAACAGATTAAAGGTTTAATGACCCAGTTTGTTGGGAGGACGTAGTCTCCGCACTGGGGTGCTTGCTAATGGCCTTTCACGTCAGGAGGATGTGTCAATGCTCCCTTCCTTGCCTCCTTCAAGGCACGATTCAGGACCCTCCTTTTCGACCGTACCGTCAGCCTCCCTCCTACCTCTCTGCCCTCCCTCATCCCAACCCTGCCCCCCACACTCGGGTCCTGATCCCGACTGTTCAGCGCCTTGAGATATCCTCCTGATGTGAAAGGCGATTTACAAATGTAATTTTGTTGTCATAGCCCTTCATAGTCTGTTTACTGTAAAATCGAGTGATTGTATGTTTTGTGGGCAAATGGCAGCCAATATATTAAAAATATTTGTGGGACTCGTGGATCCTGGAGAGAGAACAAGTTTCCTTACACCGTGCACCTTTGTTTACCGAGCAGTAAAAAGGAACCCGGTTGTTAGTCGATTGGTGCATCTCTTTCTGGGGTGTAATAACCCCTTCAAAAAAAGATTTTAAAAAAATAATAATTTAGTCACTCATTCCACTACTGTTTGTGGGACACTGCTGTACGCAATTGGCTGCCGTGTTTCGCTCACAAAATATACAATTAGTTTTACAACAACAACAAGATTACATTTTGGGGGAGGACGTGATAAGGCGCTATTTCAAATGCAAGAATTATTATTAGAAGTAATAATTGATCAAGGGAATTCAAGAATTCGCAGATCACAAAAATTAAAAATTTGTTAATTTGTTAATTCAATCCATGATTGTTTGTTGGACACTCCTGTGCTCAATTGGCTGCCATGACCCGCCCTCAAAATACAGTCAATTAATTTTACAGTATATTCTGTGAAGCGCTTTAAGACGTCTCAATGACATAATAAGGCTCTATATCGAATGCAAGAATTATTACTCAGAGGGTAGTGAATTTATGGAATTCTTTACCCCAAAGGGCTGTAGATGCTCAGTCCTTGAACATAGTCAAGGCTGAGATTGATAGATTTCTTGTGGATAAAGGGATTAAGGGGTATGGGGATAAGGCGGGTAGGTGGAGTTAGAATAGATGAGCCTTGAGCTTATTGAATGGCGGGGCAGACTAGAATGGCCTACTCCTGCTCCTGTTTCTTATGTTCTTATTATTACAGCCAGTAGTATAACTTCACTGACTGCATGCGATCCAAAGCCAGCTTTTAATTGTGAGCAAAAGTTTTACAGTTCATGGATTTCCCTTAAGGATCTAAGCATTAAAGAACTCGAGTGATCGCCATGCTTTGGAAAGAGTTTGCTGCCGGGTAACATAGCTTTGATACAAATGTGAAAAGGTATGGTTTACTTAGGCTTAGCCCTAGGCTGGAGCTTTTGAAACTAATAAAATTGCATTTGGCTTGATCCAAAGGTGTCTGTACGTATAAGTATAATTAAAAGGTCTAGATGGTGTCATCTATCAACCTGCATGTGTTCTTGTTCTCAAAACCAAGATAACAATTCACCTTCTGCTACTTCAACATGTATTATTACCAAGCTTACACCAGTAAGCAAATCTGGCGGAGAAAACAGTATTTATGCCACCTACACATTCAAAATGTCCCTGTGCCTGGAATAGACTGCACACTCTCTTCCCGTTGGGATGTATCCTGTTTATACCTAATCCTGGCCTCCTTCTATGCTGTATAGTTCTGTGATTCTGTGATCTTCAAATTACTAAACACACTTCAGTAAGTTTAATTTGGATATTCCTTTTTTGTATTTCATTGTGTAATTTGCATTTGCTCTGCTGTTAATTATGAATGTATATCACATTCCTTATCTTAGCATGGAAGGTTGTGTGAGGTGCCTTTCTTCTAAACTAAGCCTCATGGCTTCCTGGGTCTTCTTGTGGCCAATTGCAAAGCAACATTGGTAGAATGTTGCAGGTAAAACAAGAGCCAGTAGGCCTTTCAATATTTGAACAAAAACATAGACAAATACCTGCGACGGGAACTCGCCTTGTTTAATATTGCACTTTTAACATTTTTGATAAACTCATTTAATTCTTATCTTCAAATATCCAGGTTTTTGGCTGAATACCAAGAAGACTTTTATCCAGAATCTGCTTATGTAGCAGCATCTGAGGCCTACTATTGTACAAAACGTCCTCAGGCTATTTACTGAAGCACTGGCAGACTTGTGAATTGAGCTCATTAAGTTACTGTTAGCCTGGTGGCTATTGGTCGAAAGAATATAAATGACTTTCAACAGCTGGCAACAAGAAGGCTTATGTTCTATTAAGTAGTGCTGCCTGTAGGAAATCTGTTGAAACATTACACGGTGGAGATGGACCACTTTGCTTTGTCCGTACTTTGCTGTTTCTTCTTTCGTTCCTGCTTGATGCTGTGTGCAGACGTTTATTCTTCAGTGGTTGCAGTCGCTTTGATTCTGAAAGAAACTACAATGAAAAAATCCATTTGAAAATTGGCTAATTGTGACTGAATTTATTGAGCAAGACTAGTTCTATTTTGAACGACTACAGTTTGGGATGTTCATTTTAAAAATAATGATTTAAGGAGATGTTTTGCGAAGTTGAAGAAGACCTTGTATAACTTGTCGTCGTGCTTACCTATTCATGGAAAATAAATATTGTAATGAAAACTTACTTTGCTTCACTTATTCTAAAACCAAAAAATTGTTTGTTGGTATTTGCATAATCTGGGGCCATGCTGCTGAAATTGTTTATGTAAGAATAAGTCATTTCCTTTTTTTAGACACGACAATTTCAGTTAGAAGTAGACTTGGTCTATGTAGCATTTCACCCAATTCCCCATAAGTAAATATCTGAAAATTTAACAAACCTGAATTATTTTGGTTGAAGGTTATTTTAGTCATTATTGAAACCCTTGGTTGTCTTTTGTTTGTCTATCTCTGCCGCTGTCTGTTCCACTGCACTCTTGCTAAGCCTTCGGGATTTCTTGTTCTCTTTAGTTCTTATTTTATATAATGCTGTAATTACTGCTAACCTGTATGTGTTCTCTGGACATCATAGAACAGGGTTAGTTGTTTATATATGTTTCATAAGACTTTCCATCTCCTTTGAGATTAGCCAAAGGTGACCCAATTCTGTCCTCTTACTACTTAACAAGCATAGTCTCCTCAGTAGTTCCTGGATTCCTTTTCAGTGACTGATCAAATTCCCAATCATCAGCAATTTTTTCTCCTTTTAGCGCCTCTCTTCCTCCCCCCCAAAAAATAGAAGTTCACAAGCAGGAAACAAGTATGAATGTAGGAGGAGGCAGGAAAGAAGGATTTTTTCTGATTGATTTTGGCAAAACCATGGAGTGAAGATATTTTTAGAATCGGACCATTTAAGAAAACCTAGAAATTTCATAAATTTACCTCATGCAGAACAATTCTTGATGAAGAATGAACTCTTCATTCTATTTCGAAGAGTTTACATATTATGGAATATATTGTGGGCTGATGGTAAAAATGAGAGGGATGCTATAATGCTAGGATTAATTAACTACGTAAAGCTGACTCAACTGCTTGAAGCTGGACTGTCTGACCTTTACATGAAATTAAGTTCCAGAAATAATTGTGACTGTGCTGGAATTTACTTTGTATTCTTTGACAAGATGACAAACTCACAAACTTATAGCAACTGCTGTTCTTCAGAGAATGTATATTGTGTCAATTAGTCTTAAGTGAAATGTAACTGATTGACCAGTAACGAAAATGAGTTAGTTATCTGTCTCACTCGCTACACAATATAAAATTAACCTGAAAGACATGCTCAGGAATTATTTCTATGTGGTTTAAAGATCAAAGTATTTTTGGCCAAGGCAAGTCGTTACCTCTCTTATGATATGCTGCTATTTGTCAATAGTTCAACCAGACACTGATTTGTTTATCTGAAACCTCACCAATATCACCTGATCCTTTGTTAAGCAGAACCTGTTCTCATGTGTTGGGGTTCACAAAGACACATCGAAAGACATGAATATCTTGAGTCTAAAAATCCTTGAAATTTATATGGTTTTTGATGTGTTCACAATTTGGGATCTATAGCAGAACTGTTTATCATCAGTCATGATCAGTTTGTTGTCTTAAGTGTATGGCGCTAGTATAGATAATGATTATTTTAGAAATCGTGTGATCTGCTAATACTATTAATAAATGTTTCACAATTAAATGAATGCAAAGAAATCAGAATTGCCCTACAATGGAAGTCACTTTAAGATCAATCCTGTTAATGTGGTCAACTCTTTAACGTGGATATTTTTTCCAGTTTTTTTCATTTGCAAGTTACAGTATAATGTGATAAGCTCACAGCACCTTCGCCCTGTGTGAGCAACATTGTGAATCACACTGGATGAAGGAGAAAAAGGGAATGACCTAATTCTGTTATGAAACTGATGATTTATTGCCTTAGATTTGATGATTTCTTGTGCAGGTACAACAATTAATCTGACATCATGCTTCCAGTGGCACTGTGTAAGTACAAATTCCTGTTATGGTATTTTCAATAGTTTCTTTAAGTTCTAATTCACAGAAGACATGGGCATGAGGGCAATAAACAAATACGTACATAATTTGTGAATTGATAAATTATTTGTGAAAGGGGTGAAATAATTGTGAATTGGGTTTTCAATAGTTTAAGGACTAATACACAGGACATTTTGACATGAAGGAAAACCAAAATTGTAATTGTACAGTAACTTGTTTTGGATTTTTAAAAAAAAGTCATGATAAGTATGATATCAACTTGTTTATGTGATAATAATTCCTCAGTCAATCCAGTGTTTTATGATACAGTGTTTGTTTTCCAACTAGAAAATTTAGGCCAAAAAGAAGTCGGATTTCAGTTAGGTAAGTTGCAGTGTTATTTTTGTGGTCTGACTCTGAATCCGGCTGAGGTGGACTGAACTAAGGTCTCTTTCCTGCCTCCACTTATAACATCCTTCCAACCGCTGAAGGAAAGCTGAAGCATACGGGAGTTGAAGTCATGTTCTGAAGGTATGTTACAATAGGATGCTTGCTGATTCCTGAAAAGTAGTACCGATTAGCATTGGACAGAAGCAACACTTCAATGCAGTGCTGGAAGATACTGCATTGTTGGAGGTGCCATCCTTAAGATATTAAACTAAGATCCCATCTTCCTGTCAGGTGGATCTTGAAGATCCCATGATACTATTCGAAAAGGGAAGTCCAAGCCAACAATCCCCTAATAAAATTGGTGGTTCACTTCATCTATTTTTATGTGGCATTGTGAGCAAATTGGCTGCCAAGTTTGCCAACAAAATAGTCCCTATACTTTATAGTGAAAGGTGCTAAATCAAATGCAAGGATTATTCATTCTGATCAGTTGTGGTTTGAAGAGTGCAAAACAAACTTACCATGTTGAAAAGTACAATTCTAGCTACAATTTGTATGTGAAAGTGGCGATATTATTGTGAATTAGGTTTTCAATACTTTAAGCACAAACACACATGACATTTTTTTGCCCACAAAAAATATATAGTCAATTCATTTTACAGTATATTCTGTGAAACGCTTTGAGATGTCCCAAAGACTTGATAAGTGGAGTCCTATAGCTCAGTGGTTAGAGCACTCGCTTTGCAAGCGAGAGACCTGAGTTCAATTCCAGGCAGAGGGCGAAACCTTGGGCAAGTTTCCTTACTCCACACACCTAATAATAATCCCTCCAAAAAANCAATAATAAATTGGTCATTTTCAATCTACGACTGTTTGTGGGACATTGCTGTGCGCAATTGGCTGCCGCGTTCGCCCACAAATATACAGTCAATTCCCTTTACAGTGTGTTCTGTGAAGCGCTTTGGGACGTCCTCCCGACGTGAAAAGTGCTATATCAAATGCAAGGATTATTTTTTGTATTATTATTATAAGTCACTATAACAAATGCACAGATTATTATTGTTACAATTGAGTAAGAATTCAAAAGCAGAATTTCTAATTACTACTTCTAGAGGATCTAATCTACCGCAGTTGGGGGTATGGAGATTTATCTGTGATATGTTAACTGTGATTGTTAACACTATTTATTTTTATCACTTCTACAAAACGGACTACGTTCTTTCAAGTTGTCCAAGGCTATTTTGTGCACAGAATCTGCAGCATGACTAAGAGTAATAACATCTGTTATTTGCAACATGGGCTGCAAATTCTACTGATCTAAGATTGGGCATCACAAATTCAATCCTGTAGATATTAATGGGAACATGTCAAATATACAATTCAACTATATGAATTCTTAAATAGAGTTATGTGGAGAAAAATTGCTTGGGTGTTCATCAATTTTTGAAAGGTATCCAGGAATAAAGTGTTCTGCAGTATCTAGAACATTTGAAAATGTTGTTTTGAAATGGAGGTGAAAAATTAATGTAACCAATTATTTTCACAGTACTTGTATCCAGTTTTGCTGTGTGTTATGAAATGGACACCTAGCAACTACGTCCTCATGACGTAAAGGGCACTATATAAATGTAATTTGTTGTTGAAATTCTCGCTTTCACCATTTAAGCGCTCTGGAACACTGTCCAGGGTGAGGGCGCTGTATAAATGCAAGTTGTCATTGTTGAGTCAGTATCGGCTTGTTTATGGTTAACTGAGCAGTTGTGTATAAAATGGTTTCACTGAGGAAAAGAACTGCAACACCACGATGTAAATAATAAATTATTCATGCCTATTGATCACACAACACAAAAAGACGATAGTGCATTATAATGAGTAGATTAGTTAAGGGATTTTATCAGCATTAATGAACCATTGTCAGCAAAGGAATTTACAATATGTGCTATAATTACAGTAATTTATTGCATTAATTGAATGGATTTGTCAACCTCATCAAATTAAATCATTCATGTACTGCACTCTGAAATGTTGCAAGCCTTCATCACTCCAGTAATTCTTTTTCAGATATGCATACTTTGAGTTCAAGTCCTATGTCGGTACTTGAAACTCGTATGGTCTAAGTTGACACTCCAGTGCAGTTTTGGAGGTGCTGTCCTTCAGATGAGACATTAAACCAAGGCCCTCTCAGCGTGTTCAGGGGTGCGTTAAAGATCCTGTGTTGCTATTTGAAAAGAGAAGGAGTTTCTCCCAGTGTCCCTGCCAACAATCCCCCAAGTAAAATTGGTCTTTCACTCCATGATTGTTCATGGGATTTACTCTGTACAACCTGGCTGCTGCTTTGGCCAACAAAAACTACAGTATATAGTTTTGGACACAACATGTTAAGCGACTGCCAGGATGGTGGAAGGTGATCTCGATGGACCTTATCTTCTTTCATCTCGCAAATTCTTTTGTTCTTATAGTCACTGCACTTTACAGTAAATTCTGTGAAGTGCATTGGGAAAGCCTCCTGATATGGCGTTATACCAAATACAAGGAGGAGGATTATTATCATTTGTGCAATGGGATTGCAGTTAAATCTGCACGCCGTATTTTATGTCTAGGAGCAATCACCAAATTTAACTTTGTCCTATTCTAAATGGGTACCATCCCTTCGATCCTACTTTATAACAAAAAATTATCCTTGCATTTGATATAATGCCTTTCACATTCAGAGAATGTCTCAAAGCACTTCACAGGATTTTACAGCAGCAAGTTCAAGAGAAGATACGAGATGCATCTGAAATG